TCCTTTCCTTTTCCTTTTATTTCTATTTTTATTTTTTTTTTAGAATGGGGGGAAATATTCCCACAATCTCTACTTTTAGAGGTTTTTAAATATTTTCTCCTGAAACACTTTATTTTGTATGTTTTTGTTATATTTCATAAATAAATAAATTTTTACTTTTTACTTTACTTTATAAAAATGTAGTACCCGTCTACAAAGCGTGTATAATCATATGGTAGGGCAGGCCGTGTCAGTTGAATCTCCTTTCTATTCCATACTCCCTGACTGGAAAGTACGGTGAGGGACTGGGATTAAGGGACTGTCTGTAGACCTTAATTCAAGTGCAGACCATTTTTAAGAGGGTTATGTCCGATTTTCACAACGTAGCCATTTAATTAGGTTTTTTTCTAAGAAATAATGACGAATACAATTTAGTTTTTCTATTTAAAAATTGATCATTTTTTATTGTGGTTTTACTGTGAATCTGAAACTGATGAGATCTTCCTTTGTTACTCAGATAAAGATGAAGTTTATCTTTGTGAATGGGGGATGCCCAAGGAGCATAGATTATAAGGGAGAAGGAACCGGCCTGCTCTATACTCTTGTTGTCGGATAGCAGCAAGATTCTCAATAATGAACAGTTAGACAACGGAGTAACCCTCGAATCAAAACCGATAATGCAGAAAACTCTTTATTTCCTAAAAATTAAATGGATAATAACATATAAATTTTACAAGGTTTATAATTTTATAATGAAAAGATTCTTACGATCTATTAAATGATATGTAGGTTAAAACCGTCGGGGAGTCCTAAGACGTTTTATTTATATATTGAAACTTCTGAAAAGAATGACAATTAATTATTAACGAAAGTCACTAATTATTTATATTAAAATATTCTGTTCACAATAATAAAAGTGTTTAAACTCCGTTACCGGAGAACAATGAAAGTGGGGCTAAAACTGTTTGGTTTGGTGTCTCCGAGAGGGGATTTCAAGTTAAAGACGACATTACATGGATGGACGGGGGAGTCTTATAGTTAATGGTTGACAACCCTGTGATTATACATGCTTCGCAGACGGTACTTGATTTGATTTTGTCTGATGTACATTTACCGCGTACATGTATTCAGAATAGGTTATTATACATTAAACAGGGGAAAAAGTAGGCTGAATAAAAAATTGGGCCCGATGGATTCAGCCGTTTCAACGTTTATAGGATTCAAACAAACAGACATACAACAAAACAAATTATATATATATATTTATATATATCAGTTGAAACGCAACAATCTTCTTATTTGTATATATATATATATATATATATGACATTTTAAATATGTTTTTATAGATTGGATGGACGTGGTCAGGGAGAAAAGAGCAATGTTGACAAAAAGATTGTGGACTCTTTTCTTGGATAACTTTCTTGTTCGTAGCATTCAGAATTTCGTAATAGTGAACGGAGTGTTCGGAATAACTCACAAATATTTATACACACCTAACATTACATTCTTAATTTCGCACAAAATGCTTTGATCTTGGTTTGTTTTTTCAAACAAAATGATTTTTCCGATAGATTATAATAAAAATCGAAATATGTTAAAATTTTATTTGATGTATTGTTTTTTAACATTAAATTGTAAAAACTAAAATAAAAATATAAGATAATAAGATTTAACTTTTTATATAGTTTTGTTTGCTGGTTCTGGTATTAGTTGTATGAGTTTTGATCCAGCAACAACTGTGCAATATTACTACTACACTATATTATACTACCATTACTCAAAGAATGACACTTGACAGACGACTGCACAGAATTCATTCAGTCCTTTGCCTTACTTTTCTGGTCTTTGGTATGGCATTATACTTTAATATTTGAAACAAGGTTGGAAACTATGGTCTGTGGTATGGCATTATACTTTAATATTTGAAACAAGGTTGGAAACTATGGGGCCTTTTTTGAGAAAATGCTGAAGACCATCTCACTGTAATGTAAAAACTCTTTTATCATTCAAATTCCAGACATAAATCCTAGGGTTATCAAGGTTAACCATTTAAGCCCCTCCTCTGTCAAGGGTTAATGCAAAAGCTTCACTTTTGATCCCAGTACCAGTTTCATAAACTATCCAATTCTAGTTATTCATATAGTTTAATGTCTATCTCACAGAGTATAAATGAATGGTATTTATCAGTTTATCTTCATTGGTATAAATACATCTGTTTAAGTTTATTTCTGTCTTATTACATCTTACTCAGATATTCATAATTCTCTGGTGTAATTAAGCAGCTCCTTCAACTCCTGTTCAGCATCTAACTAGGCAGCTCCCTCAACTAGATATCTCGTTCAGCTGCTCCAGTACTGTAATCCTGGATGATACTGCATCTGCTTCTAATGTCTCTCAAATCCAACTGCTCCTAGAATCTCTGTTATGATAGCTGTATATTACCGGAGCTGCTCCTTGAGTCCCTGATACTCTGGTTACAGAGATGTTCCTACAATCTGAGATGCTCCTACTAGCTGAGATTTGTCCAAGTTGTCTACACTGTCCCCAGATTATGACATCCTAGTCTTCTTATACATTCTCGCGGGTAGACGAGAGTAGTTAAACTAGCTGGACTGGAGTGTCTTAGATTTATTACTTGCTCTGTATCTCCAGTGGACCCCCAATTAGGCCAAGCTAAAGTATCTAGAGTAGTAGATCAGGAGAGTCTCTGATACTCTGGTTGCGAGTATCTAGAGTAATTGAACTAGCTGTAGCTCGGAAGAGTCTCTGATACTCTGGTTGCGAGTATCTAGAGTAATTGAACTAGCTGTTGCTCGGAAGAGTCTCTGATACTCTGGTTGCGAGTATCTACAGTAGTTGAACTAGCTGTAGCTCGGAAGAGTCTCTGATACTCTGGTTGTGAGTATCTAGAGTAGTTGAACTAGCTGTAGCTCGGAAGAGTCTCTGATACTCTGGTTGCGAGTATCTAGAGTAGATGATGAGAATGAGGCTGTTACAATCTCCGCCATGAGAAACTAATGTAGAGAGGTCCTTTGGGGATGCTGATGAATTTGAAGATGCATCCTCTAGACATTGATGGGGTAAGGAGGCTGGTGTCCTCCTTGGTACTCGAGTAGGCATATGAAAGTTATATCATCCTTAGAGCTGTCAATGAAGAACAAGTCCCCAGGCCTTAAAGGGGATAAACGGGAGCTCAGGCTCAAGCGTCTATCCTGTGTAAGATCCTGGAGTGTACTGATCCTAATCTCCAGGTTCTGACAAAGGGTTTAAGGTTTTTGCATCGGGTCATTCATCTAAATATTACACCATGCTTTAAATACTACATTACACCAGTTCGAAAATTTTCTGCAATACAATTTTGAAAATAATTTGAGAAATAATTTTCAATCTCATTCATAATTTTGCGATGTTTCGTAAATTAAATCACTAATGTCACAAACGTTAATAAAATCAAGTTTTTGTTTTTAGAATTTTTTTCTTTTAGAAATGTTGGTTTTTAGGGTGCCAAACATTATAGAAATCCAACGTTTAGAAATCAGACAACAAGACATATTTACCGGGAGAATTTTTCTTATATTTTTGAGAAATTAAATGTTTTCGTAAAACATTGTAGCTTATCATATTATTATTATTTCTATTTTTTTAACATACACTAGACAATATACAACTAACTAGACTAATATGTACATTTGTACTACTCTCTTTTGTGTTTAAGGTCCCCCCAGATTTTATTGTGTACTGAAAATAGAATAAATGATTATTTGGTAACANCCCCCCCCCACCCCTAGCAAATCATATAATGCCCCCCAAACCCCTAGCAAATCATGAGCTAAGCCCCTGCTGAACATCTGAACTGTTTTAAAAGAAATCATATTCTTTAAAAAAAATTTAAAAAACAAGTATTATTATGAATTAAAATCATTATTTTTATGAAAGAGAACAATGAAAAGAATCCAGGAGTATTCTATATTCATGTATTTCAGTATTAGAAATAACCAGGTGATTACAACAGCTGTGTTAAATTTTTTAAGCTATTTATTTTTTTAGTTTTTTTTTAAAAAAAAGATTGGTGTTCCTTATAAATTAAAATAATAATTTGTTGGTTTTGATAAGCATGGGAACTTTAAAATTGTTCTGTTAACAAAACGGAGGTTTTCAAAAATTAATGTAAGAGTCTGTTAACAAAGGACCAAAACCGTTAATTTTCAAATAGTTAAAGAAACGGATTAGCCATATTGAAGAACAAAATTAACGGTAGATAACGAAAACAATATGGATGTGTTTTTAAAAAACGGATCTTTTTTTCTGCTAAAATTGCAAGAAACTTGCAAAAATAGAAATGGAAAAAATAATGTATTTTGATGTTTTTAAATGTGGTCTTTAGCCCCCCCCCTCCCTATTTTATATGATGGAACTTTTAAAAGATTTTTTTTTACAATTTAGAAACTACTTGTGCCGACTTCATTAAGAATTGTTATGAACATCTTAAAGGTTTGGCAAACTGTTGTTAATACTATAAAAAAAACCTTAAAGGTGTGTGCCAATTTTACAAACCGTTTACGATGTTTTTTTTTCGCTGCGCTCAATTTCTTAACGGATCCAATGTGGACACTTATTTCTTAGTGATATTTTATGATGTGGGGTAAAAATGAAAAATTAAAGTTTTTTTCTCCTTTTTGATATTTTTACACAAAAATTTAGCTAACAAAACCCTGAAACCTGTGTTAGTTGACCCCCCCCCCCCTCCCATAGATATGTTTGTGTAGTATATAGTACCTTACATCGTCGAACTTGTGATGAAAGAAGAAAAATTATAAATCAAAATGATTTTGCTTGTAATCAAGTACATATAAGGTCTATGATACAGGGTTACCCACAAAGGATGAGACTTCAGGTGACGAATTGATACTGAGCAAATAGATTATCAATTACAATAGGTGGTAACAGAGAAATGGACCAATTATACACAACGTCACTTGTGTAAAATATAACAAGGAAAACCGAAATTTTCTCACATTATTTGACATGTTTTCCAAGATTAAAGAAAAAAGTGTCAAAACAGAAACTGATGAAAACATGAAATTGCTCTTGTTTTACTGAAAGATAAGCACTTTATTCTAAAACTATCAGTTTGTCGGACACACAAAACCTGTTGACACTTGTGACGTCAGAATACAGCTGTACTCAGAGTGTACAAATTCTACATTGCTATCTATTTTACTAGACTCTATTTGATACTGAGTTGTTTCTTATATTTATGATTCCCTGGATCTGTAAAACTTATTTCTTTTCTTGCCAAATCATTGAATAAGCCGTTAATGGGTTTTATTCAGGGCAGCAGACTTATCATCATATTTTAAGGATTGTATGTCGTCATTACAGTCTTAAATACCTCTTTTTCATTAATGTACAAACAATTTTCAGAGAAATATGATTGAGAAAAAATACCTAGCTCTTTTATCTTTTGCTTTTTTCACCATTTGGAATTTGATTTTCCAAATGGAGGTGGGTTCAAATTAGTTATTGTCCTGATCAATAACCTTTATGACCTCTATTTCTAACCAAATATGTTTCTGTGCCTAGGTAACTGTGTCTAGGAAAAGCCTAAAAATCTTGGAGCACTATAATTTTAATTGCCTAGTAAGTTATCGTTTTTATAAAATAAAGATTAGCGCGTTATTAAGAGATTAAACAAGTTTTAACCTCAGGTGAATCAAGCTGAAGGTTGTTTGCTGGGCACTGAAACCTTGTACTGTACTGCACCACGTGGACAACTCATCTGCAGACCTAGAACCAGGAAAAATTCCATGATTTAAATAAGTTTACTTTAAAGTACGGTTTCTAGTGAATTCTAGTTTACAGTTCAAATATGGAAAAAATCCGGATATGTATTCTCATCATAATTATGGTTCTGTTTTCCAAAAAAAAATTAAACCCAAATTAAATCCGATTAATATGTAACTAACTGAAATTCCCGGCGATGCCCGTGACATTTTTTTTTTATTTTTAAGAAAAATTTTGATTTTTGAATTACCCCTGGGGTAATAAAGGGTTCCCTCACAAAATGTCAGCCCATTCGGTCCAGCCGTTTGTCCTGCTAAAGCTAACATATATACAAATATATAGTTATAGTTATAGTATTTATTTTCAAACACAAAATACAAAATAATAATGCATTATGGTTCAGCTTAAAATAAAACACAAAAGAAAATTTATTATGAGCCAATTAAAAATATATTGTTTGATAATTTTGTTTTGATCGTATTTGTTGAAACAAAGTATACATATTGAAAACTCAACTAAGAATATATTCATTGTGCATTTACAAGTAGTTAATTAGTCAGCACTTAAATAATCAAAACATTTTCAGGAATGCATTCATTGAACTTATAATATATATTGATTCAGCAAAAGTAGAATTGTATTCTCGTTGACTGTAGTAGACTTTGACATCCACCATTAGCAGAGAGTGTGAACCCATTCTTGTTGACTGTAGTAGACTTTGACATCTACCATTAGCAAAGGGTGTGAACCCATTCTTGTAGACTGTAGTATACTTTGATATCTACCATTAGCAAAAGGTGTGAACCCATTCTTGTTGAGTGAAGTATACTTTGACATCCACCATTAAATTAGCAAAGGGTGTGAGTCCATTCATGTTGACTGTAGTAGACTTTGACATCTACCATTAGCAAAGGGTGTGAACCCATACTCGTTGACTGTAGTAGACTTTGACATCTACCATTAGCAAAGGGTGTGAACCCGTACTCGTTGACTGTAGTAGACTTTGACATCTACCATTAGCAAAGGGTGTGAAACCGTACTCGTTGACTGTAGTAGACTTTGACATCTACTATTAGCAAAGGGTGTGAACCCATTCTTGTTGACAGTAAAAAGGGTTGCGGCCCTAGTCCTGAATATATTTGCAAGCCTTTTGCATGCTTTCTCTCAGAGAGAGGAGGTGTTGACACCTCAACTGCTTTCTACTAATATACGAGCGCAGAGCAGTTATACATAAGATAAATCATATTAATAGAAATAAATCACATTAGGCAGATTTAAATATTTTGCGTATATCAAAGCAAAAATGCAAATCGATCGCGTTCCTGAGCTGTAAAAACTTTAGAATTGGATACCCTGACTTAGTACCAAACATTTATCTTAATATCCTGTGCACACTTTAGATTTTTGGTTAGACTACTATTTTTGGATATTCCGACCAATGAAAGTTAAGTTCTCTCATTAAATGGCGCGCAAAATTTGAAATATCTTGTCTTCTTATTGGCTGTTCGGAATACTGCATACCCCCATCTGATTGGTTAAAATTTAGACATTTTCCTAGATACAAGCTCAAGATTAGATTTATCTTGAGATTAACAAAAAGAGAAGATCATGCGTTGATCTCAATATTCACAATTCTAAAGCTTTCAGAGCTGAAAACTTTAGAATGGTGGATATCAAGATTAATGCTTAAACTCCTGGTTTTACTAAACTTAAGATTATTTTAAAACGCATTCGATATACAAGAAGTTCAAAATTTAACCAATCAGCGTATCATGTTAAGATGTACTCTTTAACTTTTGAAAAACCAGTTTTGATTTCTGGTGTTGATGGTGTCATATCAATTGATCTAAACATCGATTGAACGAACGTAAGTTTTGGATTAATGTTTATTAAGACTAACGTTCAAAATGACAATAGTCCTAAAATAAGTTTTTAATAATTTCAATTAACATGATCAAGTTTATATTTGTTTAAACGCTCTAAAAGCCGGCTTGTGAACAGCTTACTTTAATTCAATCGGACACTAGTCCAATTGATATAGCATTGTATCTGTAATTGTTATCAAACATAACTTTTATACAGTAGAAATATCCAAAAAGAGGATTATAAGAAGAAAATCAAAAGTGTGTACATTGGATAATCAGATTAAGCGATCCTGATTAAGGATATCTCATTCTAAAGTTTTTAGCTCAGCTCAGATTAACAAATAATGAAAATTATTTTAAAAAGTTAATACATTATATTATATTATGTTATATTCAGTTTACAAATAATAAACATTATAATATAAGAATAGACTCAGGATACAAATAATAGACATTATAATATAAGACTAGACTCAGGACACAAATAATAGACATTATAATATAAGACTAGACTCAGGACACAAATAATAGACATTATAATATAAGACTCGACTCAGGACACAAATAATAGACATTATAATATAAGACTAGACTCAGGACACAAATAATAGACATTATAATATAAAACTAGACTCAGGATACAAATAATAGACATTATAATATAAGAATAGACTCAGGATACAAATAATAGACATTATAATATAAAACTAGACTCAGGATACAACTCAGGATACAAATATTAGACATTATAATATAAAACTAGACTCAGGATACAAATAATAGACATTATAATATAAGAATAGACTCAGGATACAAAAAATAGACATTATAATATAAGACTAGACTCAGGATACAAATAATGATAAAACCTGATTGTTTAGCTGATTGCTCCCAGGGAAGAACTTTATATGACAAATTTGATATTGAGGATACTTTCTAGTTGAATCTGTTTTCAGAACTTCAAAAAGGATAGTTATTATGAAAAATGTAAACCCTACAAATATAAAATAATTTTTTGGTTAATCAATAATGAGTAAGGGTAAAAAAATTGTGTTGTGAAAAACTACTTTAACCCTAACTATCCCGATTGGGATATTTTTGTCTAATATAGATTGGGGGGGAAAACTTGTCAAAGCCTGCTTATTAAAACATTGAGACCTCTATCTTTAATGGTTAGGGTGCAAGGGAGGAATTAAAAAAGTTCAAAAAGTACGCCGAAAAAATGTTTAAAAGTAATTTTTTTAATTTTTGACAATAAATATCAACATGTGACACATAATATTACATCCATTTTTACAGGGCTTTTAAAATTTAAGCCCTGTAACTAAATTGATAAAAAAGTTGTTAACCTTTTCTGAATTTTTTAATTACCGACCCACCATTTGAGGGTCCTCCATCCTACCCTATGAATCAAAAAAAATGGTAGCCAAATATTTTCATAACTATGAAGTTGAAAAAGGGAAGAAGTATCATAAAAAAAACCACAGAGGGGGGGGGGGGGGGAAAACACCGTGATAGGGTTAAAGTTTTTAATTTAGTTTACTCTAAATCTATCCTGTTTTTTATGCATTAAGCATGGATTTATTTTCATCAGATCTGTTCTGAAGGTAAAACTATTTTAATTATTATGTACATACCTGTCAAAAAGAACTGGTTCGAAATTATAACTAATTTTTCCATTACCGTATAAAGCCAGCACTCTTTTATCCTGCGCCTTACAGGGACTATCCTGCACCTGACAGGGACTATCCTGCACCTGACAGGGACTATCCTGATCCTGACAGGGACTATCCTGCACCTGACAGGGACTATCCTGCACCTGACAGGGACTATCCTATTCCTATTTACAAAGTAGCCTTTCTAGAGATGGGCATCATTTTTGTCAACAAACGAAATTTTTAAAAACGAACAAAGTTTATTAAACGAGCATTTAGGGATTTTACCAAAAGCATTTTCCCAAGAATTACTTTCCAAGTGACAATTTCCGAGCGCTGTTGCTTGGACAGGCTAAGGGGTCCAGCAATGCGCTATAATAGGCTAGGGGGTGAGTGCGGAGCGCTACTTTTAAGACAGATTTTGTGAAATTGCACATTTGGGAAGTTTCTACTTGAAAAAAACCTTGGAATTTTAAACATTTTCAGTAAAGTACTTAACATCTATTTTCACTGTGCAAACGATTATTTAAACAATCTAACGGAAGAAACGATCTAATTGAACAAAGGTTTTGTTAAAAACAAACATTGTTCATCATCATCTTTGTCTGAGAAAAAATTATGAAGAAATCTTTTCAATCTTAAAATTTATGATTTTTAACCCTATTCCTGCTGGGGGGGGGGGGTCAATTTGACCCCCCCCCCATGTAGTTTTTTTTACATAACTCAAAAAGTATTGGTCTGAGGCTGTTTAAATTTTTCTGACTTTTCCTACATACCCAAAGCCCTCCCTTTAGGCCTAAAACCGGGCTTTAATAATAACTGCCTGAGTCCTCAGGCACACTGCCTGAATGAATGCTTTTTCCTGTAACAAACTAAATCTTTGTTTTGACCCACTTTCACTTGTCAGATTTTGATAAAATTTAGCTTTTTGGAAAGCCTATGACATAAGGAAACGGATTGCACAAGTTTTGCGAGACAAAAATTGCAAATTTTTTGCAAACAACCTGTCAAAGGAAATATGCACATTTTTAGTTTTTCTTGATTAAAAATCAGGTTGCTTAAAATTTTGCAAACATTTTTGCATATTTGAAATGGCATGGTCAAGGGCTTTTCAAAAATGTATAATTTTTCATTTTTTGGACAAATTATTTTTTGCAAACATTTTTACTATATAACTGGATTTTGCGATAAAAAATTCAATTTTTGCAAATTTGCAAATTTTTTTGCAGATTCTAAAAGTAGAGCACAAGAGCTTTCCAATGATGTATCATTTGTCATATTTGGACATCAAACATGGGATTTAGAGGGGGGGGGCAAATTGACCCCCCCCCCCCAGCATATCCTGGTTTTCAAGTACCCCAGCAGGGATAGGGTTAAGACAAATAAAGAAAATTTACCAATTTTTGGTGTTTTCTGTACACACAACTATGAAGTATTAATCACCACCACACCGTTTTTTTATTCTAGACTAATTGCAATGGTAGATTAGGAAATGTAATGATGGCATATGCTACTCTACTGGTACGTAGAACAATGAATTAGAATTACAAAGGAATTGACTCTTTGCCACAAACTCTGATTTTCTAATCACAATATCTTTGGAACCAAATGTTGCTGACCTTAGATATTTCAAACTATGAATTTTGTTAAATCAAATAATCAGAGTTTGAAATATCAAAGGTTTACAACATTGAGTTCTAAAGATATTGAGGTTTAAATATTTGATTTTGTTCCAAAGACTCAATTCCTTTTGGGAAATATTTAACCAATAATTACGTTTGAATTTTGTAATTTGGTAAAAAGAGCGATACCACACAGAAACAGCTCCCTTAGGGACAGCAACAAGATTTTCATTGTGTGTAGAAGCTTTTATAATATATAATAACGTATATTTCAAACTAGTTTACAGGTTAAATATTAAAAATATATATGCAAAAAGCGAGTACAGGATATTTTATATATGTTTATATATTTATTTCAGTTTTTGAACTTTACATTTTATTGAAAAAGAATTATACTTAATGTAATATTTCACGTCTCATGACGATCTTCAGCAGTTTAAAAACTGAAATATATATTTATACAATAATATATATACATTAACTAGTTAATTAGTTGATTAGTTAATTAGTTAATTAGTTAATTAGTTAATTAGTTAAGAATCCATGACTATGACAAAGCGCGTCAAACAACGTCAGATTAAAAAAAAACGACCCCAGACCAACACTTTTTCAGTTAAAAAACGGTATAGGAGGGTTCAAGGAAATAGTAATGGGGTTAAAATATTGCATTCACATTATAAAGGTTGGAGCTCAAGTACAATGTATATTAATGATGAGTTGAAGGATTTCAGCCTCATTTCAAGTGACTCCCCATTTCAAGATTAACATGCTAATTTACTGAAGTCCAATACTGGATTTATTTTGCCAAGAAAAATACTAAGAATATCTAGAAATTGATAATTTGCAATTGCAGTTTGCCATCTAAGTGATCTGCGGCTTTACAGAGCAGAGGCAATGAAAGGAAATTGACCAAAATTATCTCTGTCGGGGATGGAAAAGTCATCATTTTCTTGAGATAAAATCGATTATTCTTTAAAAGCTCTATAAATTGATTGATTGACTGATAGTTCGGTTTAACAGCAATATTAACAAAGTATCAGGCAGAAATGATGGAAAATGCTTTTCATCCAGATGCATATATTTTCAAAGAAGGTAAAATTAATCTTAATTATACACTGTCTGTCTGTTTAAATGTTTGCATTTTATTCTTTAAATCTTTTATGATTATTAAATGCAAACATTATGGGGGAATCAGATGTCAATATCAAAAGACAAATTCTGTAAGTTTAATGTGATTATAAGATGATAATTGAGTCATAGATATTTATAGTTACATAGATAATTGAGTCATCAAATTATCAAATTAACAATGAAATTCAGGGATACAGGGGTGTAGAGATGGTTATTGTTTATTTGTTAAAATAGATATTGAACAGAAAAAACCCTAATGATGGACGAACAAAATGAATCATTCAGAGAAATAATTAATGTTATGTTTATTATAAATGAACAATTTAAAATCGCCCATACAAAATTTTTAAAAAATATCGTTTTTTTTAAATTAATAAATAAGTTTTTCAAAAAATTTGGAAAAAACATGATCGTTTTATTTATTGAACAAACAATTGTTAGTAGCAACTATAGTTTTTTACTGAACGAACAATTTTTTTTAACAAATTTAAGAAAAAAACAAACTTGTTTTTCTGAACAAATAATTTTAATGAACGAGAGAAAACGAACAAAAAGTATGAAAAATGGACAATAACTTGATAATTTTGTGCACGATTAAAATCAATTATTTTTGAACAAATGAAACAAAATGGGTCATTCACATACAATGAAACAATGAAATGAAGAAAGTTGAACATGCCAATCTCTACAGGGTTGAGCGATGGAGCGGCCGCTTACCCCTGGAAAAATGCTCACCCCAGAAGCTAAATTGCTCACCCCAGAAGCTAAATTGCTCACTCCAGAAGCTAAATTGCTCACCCCAGAAGCTAAATTGCTCACCCCAGAAGCTAAATTGCTTACCCCAGAAGCTAAATTTCTCACCCCAGTAGCTAAATTGCTCACCCCAAAAGCTAAATTGCTCACCCCAGAAGCTAAATTGCTCACCCCAGAAGCTAAATTGCTCACCCAAGAAGCTAAATTGCTCACCCAAGAAGCTAAATTGGTCACTCAAGAAGCTAAATTGCTCACCCCAGAAGCTAAATTGCTCACCCCAGAAGCTAAATTGCTCACCCCAGAACCTAAATGGCTCACCCCATAAGCTAAATTGCTCACCCCAGAAGCTAAATTGCTCACCCCAGAAGCTAAATGGCTCACCCCAGAAGCTAAATGGCTCACCGCAGAAGCTAAATGGCTTACCCCAGAAGCTAAATGGCTCACCCAAGAAGCTAAATTTCTCACCCCAGAAGCTAAATGGCTCACCCCAGAAGCTAAATGGCTTACCCAGAAGCTAAATTGCTCACCCTGAGGGTGAAGTTTTAGTTAGGGATGAGATCTGGGTAAAAGCGAGAAATTATTGAAATTTTAAATTTTTATTAGTTAAGAAAATTCTATTTAGTATTACAATTATTTAGCTAATATATGTTTAGTTTAAATTTTGTGATCAGTTTAGAATGGTGAGCTATGACTATTTAAGTGATAGTGTTTGTTTAAAGTTCTAGAGCTATAAAAATATAAGAAAAAAGGTGATACAGAAAACTGTTTTATTTTGAGTTAAATTTTGCTCCCCCAAAGAGGTGAGAGAGGACATTTTCAGGGGGAGCAGAACATTATTTTTCCTGCTACGCGCCATAAAAGTTTTGCTCACCCCTAATAATTCGCCCGTGATGAAAGTATAACTGGGACTGGATTTAATTAATTACAAGAAATTGTTAAATTATGTAGGTACAGTTTTACCACATATCTATTGTGGCTGATTCAATCAATTAGTTCTTAAATTTGAACTATCCTAGTGACTAAAAGCAGAGATCTGTTTCAGCCAATAGATTTATGAACCCAATATTTGCGGCGTTGTGATTGCGCGGTTGTAATTGTCCGCTAAATTATCTGTATCAGCTGACTTCAAATTAGGATTGTTCAAAATTTTGAACTTTGAATTGTGATTCAGGATTTGAGTACTTAAAAGATGTGGTGCCGGATAGTTCAGCGAGCTTTTTCCAATTTATAAAATTTGGTTACTGTTAATCAATCCTAGGTGTTGTTGATGTGAATAGTCCTGTGGAAGGAATAGCAGAAATGAACGAGCATGGAGAATATTTTTATGATGCTTTTATTGAAAATATTGACAAATATCAGTTTAATAAGATACTTGATGTAGGTAGTATAAACGTGAGATCGACGTAAATTGTTCACCAGAATTTGCTAGAAATTCCACAAAATAAAATTTGTTTAAATTAAATGAAGTAAAAATACCCAAACATTTTGCACTAACTTAATGCATGTAAATTTGCCAATTTTTTGCCCATTAATTTAGTGTTTATTTTGTTTATGTAAGAACACAATTGAGTACAAATTCCTTTGGGCAATGGCAAAGCAAGCACAAACTCGCCAAACAGGCTGGCTTTAACAAATTTCGTCACCATGAGAGGAACATGAGTGTAGTTTCAAGTGACCTTCCATTTAAAAACGAGCATCCCCGATTAACAACGTACTCTTTAAACCTTTCATGATCAAGAATGTTGGAAAAATACATAATTATCTAAATTGAAATGCTTTTATAATTACATACACTTTGTTTGCAAGCTGTTATTTGTTTAAGGAATTTAAATTAAATGTTACTTTCTGGAAGGGGCAGAGAATAAAATTTACTTATGAATATTTAAAAATGCTGTTAACAAAAAACAGCTCATAACAGTTATGCAAATAACAGAGTTTAGACTGTAAAAAGTGTAAAGTCACGTTTTAGAGGAATTCATATGTTGCAGCTTGCAAACCAAGTGTTTACCAATTAAAAGAATTTTAGTAGATTAAAATAGATATGCCGGAATTAACAAGGAATAACACTTGAAATCATGCTTACAGCCCATTTTAAGAACATAGATGTAATTTCATGTGAATCTTTTATTTTCGATTCATAATTCATAATTCCAATTCATAAAAGTTTTTTCTCATCAAGGATGCATGTAATATCAATCTTGAAATTACAAGGACAATTGCTTTCAGTCTCCAGAAAGGAAAGTACATTGTACTATGACCTAATCTATAATTTCAGGTGTGTATCCTTCGCCTTTTTATATGTTCTATCAAATACGGAACGAGTTGAAAAAACATTTTCAGGTTAAAACTAAAAATAATCAAAATTAAGACAATTAAGGCCAAAGATATAGTTTCTCAAGCTTGAAAAGGCTTAAATTTTCACAATTTTCATCATTGTTCCTATTGCAGGAAATCCGGAAGTTTTTTTTCCAGAAAATATTGGAAATTCCTTAATTCTTGACTCTTAAAAACACAGGGTCCCTTCAAACTACAAATACCAAACCAAATACCAATTATTTCGACAATTTTCGATAATAATTTTGAAAGAGCATGGGTAAAATGAATTAATTATTTGTGATAGTAGTTTCATGATGATATACAGAATGCTGCTTATGAAGCTATGGAGCAGTGTACAGAGAAGATTAGGTATATCAATATTGAATATATGGTCGAATTAGCACACAGTAATATAACAGTTCGCTCCCTGTCACAATTGATCCAATTAATCATAAATTTCACATATTCTTTTTTTTCTTTTCTCTGCGGATGCGTTTTAAATATAAAAGTGGAAAAGATAACTTTGTAAGTTTGAAGTTGTTTGAATTCAGATTTAAAGTGAAGAATTCAAGTTAAAGTGTGCAGAGCTGAAAACTTTAGAATGGTGGATATTGAGATTAATGCTTGATCCTCTCTCGAGACTAACCTAATCTTGAAAATTAAAATTCAACCAATCAGAGTTCAGAGTCATAAGCCGATAAATTTGAAATTTTGCACGCTATTTAAGATTAATATACTAAAACGGGAGGAACTCTCTTATTTTAAAAAACAAAAATTTGAGGAAACCGATCAACAAATTGAGATTTTTAAAGTTTTTTAAAAAAAAAAGCAGAAACGGATCAAAAATATTAGGAAACGGACCTAAAATTTGAGGAAACCAATCAACAAAATGTGATTTTTAAAGTTTTTTAAAAAAAAGCAGAAACGATTCAAAAATGTGAGGAAACGGACCTAAAAATATGAGGAAATTGTTTAACAAAAAAAAGAGGAAACCATTCAACTCTAAATATTGGGAAACGGATACAAAATATTCGGAAATCCCTCAACAATTCTGAACTTTTGAGGGATTTCCTTGAATTTCTAAAAAAAAAACGGAAATGCCTCAAAAATAATTTTTGATCCGTTTCCGTGTTGAGTCGTTTCCGTGTTGAAGCGTTTCCATGTCACCGGATTAAGGAAATCTTATTTTAAGGTTTTCAGCTCAGACGATGTTTTTAGATAACATAACTACCGAAACTAAGAGTCAGATTCGTACCAAATCACGGGTTAGATATTGTTTACTCCTGAGTCCTGAAGTACAATTGATGTTAAGTTTACATTTAAGGGAGAAGTATGATGGGAAGAAAATAGTTAAAATAGCTGTTCACGCCAGAAGAGGAGATTATTTAAATTCTAAGGTAAAATATATCTTTAGCAACTTTTATTAAACCTTTTAGTTCAAATCCCCCCCCCACACTAGAGTACTTTTAAAATGCATATGACTTGTTTTTCATTATGAGAATTTAGATGTATTCTGAAATCTTTTCATTCACAAACATTGTATCAATTGTACAGGGTGTCCCAAAAAACACGGGAATTCAGTGACGAATTCGATATCGTCTTTTCAAATAATTCTTTGATTTAGTATAGTGATACCAACTGAGAAAGCTTTAATCTGTAAGAGTTTCGTCTGCTATGTTTACATTTTGTTTGTTTATGTTTTGACTGCATACGGTTGTACTTAGTAAAACAAGAAAATTGCAGTATACAAACAGAGAAAACTTGTCCGTCTTCACTGTTCATCTTGCAGAGACATTATAGACACATCTTTACAGTCTTTTACCCTTTTCATAAAATAAACTCTAGCAGCCATAATAATATTATGGCTTTTGAAATTAGGTATTACAATGCTAATTCATAACAAAGACGATATACTATTCGTCACTGAATTCCCATGTTTTTTGGGACACCCTGTAGCTTGCATTCATAATGATTTCAATTTATAATTACTTTTTCTGTTGATATATTTATTCATGCATGAATTCTAAAAATCCACTTTAATACGTACATTTTAGGGGTCACAGTGTGCATATATTATGTACATTTTATTTTTAGGGGTCACATTGTGCATATATTATGTATTTTAGTAAATAATGGTTGTTAATCCTGAACATGCTGGGGTTGGAGGCGTTTGAAGCCTTCTTCTCTAGTTTTTAATGCATAACCCATAACTTTTTTGTGACTAAAGCTCCAGATCTAAAAATTATATTTTTGAAAAGCCTTGAAAAATGGATGTAGAAACATGTGTCACACTTTGATATTTGTTTAAAACAAAAAAAATATTTTTGACTTTTTTTTGACAATTTCTTTGGCATTTTTTTTTAACCCTTCCTAGCACCCAAACTATTAAAGTTATCGGTGTAATTTTATTTTTAATGCGCTGGCCTTAAAAAATTGGGCTGTTAACATGCATTTCAACCCTATACCTGTTTTCTAAGACCTTTTTCTAGGGCCCCCAGGCTATACAAAGATTATTTTAATTTTTATGCTTAATTTTAGAGGTAAAATAAAAGAAGGCTAAAAATGTGTAGAAAGGAATTTTTGTTAAAAAAAAAATTTAAATCCTTTCAATCTTTCATTAGAAAGGCATTAAAAACACTCTTCTCCGAAATTGAGGCAAGCCTCCTTGCGTGCACCGCCATTCTTTGAAGCTTGACCAACCTGTCAGTGGTCATAGATGACCTGTTCCAGGTCAAAAGCCTTCGGTGTAATGACTTTGGTAAAAATCCAGGGGTTTACACCCCCCCCTAATTTCACTTGGGGGGGGGACGTAATGGACTGTCACCCCCCCCCCTGAAACCGCCTATGTTTGATTTAATTAAAGTAACATTTTTACTGAACAAACGGCTATCTCAACAAAATAGATGGAAAATGAATGATCAGAACGAACGAAATCAAATATTATTTTTTTAAAAGCATACAAATGATGAATGAAGGAAATGAAAAAAGCACTTCTAAGTGTACATAGGTTACACAAGATTGCAAAAATACAAGAAATTACAACGGAATTAGGATAATCTAGATATATAAATAGATTAGGATAATCTAGATATATAAATAGATTAGGATAATCTAGATATATAAATAGATTTTAACTACCATTAATTTAAGATTTGGGGGTGTCGCAAGTACTTGCAAGCATTTGGTTCATCTCCGATTTGTCTATGAAATAAACATAAAAAAATGCAACATTACATAGTACATATGACTTAGACGCCTGATACCCCAGTGTACTCCCACCATTAAATTAGCTATAAAATCAAATTCAAGTTAACGAAGAATGTGTTTAAGTTAACGAAAAAATTGTTCAAAATAACAAATCATTTCAAAATAACAAACAACTTCTTCATAATAATAAACAATTCGTTTAAAATAAAGAATGATTTGTTCAAAATCAGGATAAATATTTAACTCTATTCTGATGAGTCCTTTCTTTTCGTTCCATTTTTGGTGAATTTTCATGCATTTATTTTTTGTATCTTTACTAGTGACAAAATAAGTTCGACATTATTTTCATATTAAGGATGTTAAAAAAAAGGAAATCATGGCTGATGATGAAATGTGGATAGAATACTTTTTTTATTGTATTAACATATTTAGGTATATATATTTTTTACAGTGCACTTTGCTTCAATCAATTGAAAATCCGTAAAAGTTTGAGTTTGAGCAAAACTCATAATCATTGGAGTACTATTAGAGACCCCATTCATTGGAGATTCCCAATGACCGTCTCATAGAAGGCCTCCAAAATTTACATTGGAGACTCCAATTTTTTCATTGGAGACTGCAGATTTTTATCGGAGACCCTAACATTTTAATCGCAAATTCTATACTTTTCATAAGTGACCTAAAATCTTTCACCAGACACCTTATATTTTCATTGGAGACCCCAAGCATTTCAACTAAGACTCTCAGATGTTTTTGAAGACCCATAAGCCTTTCGTTTTAAACCTCAATTTTGTAGACCCACCCCAGACTTTCATTGAAGACACTCTAGATTTACATTGGAACCAAATTTTTACTGGAGACCCCAACATTATCATTAGTGTGACCCCACATTTTTCGTTTTTAAAAACCAATTTTCATTAGAAACCCCCAAATTTACACTGGAGCCCCCAGAAAAGTTTGTGGTCTCCAAAGAAAATCTTAGGGTCTCCTATGAAAATATGTGTGTCTCCAATAGAAATGTGGGGTTCTCCAACGAAAATATTAAGGTCTCCAATGAGTATCTTGAGGTATCTGATGAAAATCTTGGGACTCCAATAAAAATCTGGGTATTCCGATAAAAACTGGGGGTCTGTGTTGAAAATCTTGGGGTTCTCAGTTGAAGGGTATCTCTGATGAGATGGTCATGTGTCTGATATTACTCCAATAATAATGATTTATTCCCAGACTCTAAAAGTAACAATATATAAAACTAAAACATCAAAAGAATTATTGATATTTTATCTGTTTGCCCCTTTTTTTCGAATTTTGTGTTTTAACACTTTGTACTTTGTAATTTGTACTTTGTACTTTGTACTTTGTGCTTTGTACTTTGTACTTTGTACTTTGTACTTTGTACTTTGTACTTTGTACTTTGTAATTTGTACTTTGTACTTTGTACTTTGTACTTTGTACTTTGTACTTTGTACTTTGTACTTTGTACTTTGTACTTTGTGCTTTGTATTTTGTACTTTGTACTTTGTACTTTGTACTTTGTACTTTGTACTTTGTCGTCTTTACAAGATGTAAGGGTTTTTTTGTTAACAATAACCCTGAAGCAGATGCCCACAGGAGTTCTGTGTAGACAGAGTTGAAAATCAAGACAGAAAGAGAGCATGCACGTAACCCCTTTGGGCTCTGCCTCAGGGTAAATGTGAACGAAAAACCCCTAAATCTTAAAAAGACAACATCTAGAGTTATATCTGTATTAAGGTATTGGATTTCCAGGAGAAATATCAAATCTTCCAGGTATTGGATTTCCAGGAGAAATATCAAATCTTCAAGGTATTGGATTTCCAGGGTCGTGAACTACAAATGAAAGCTAGCCTACATGAAGCAAATAATGACACGAGTTAAAGTACACAAACTATATTTACAACATGAATATATGTAAAATATACAAATGGCCGAGTAACGTGTAGTGATCGGCGGGGATATTTAACGACAACCGTCTGCTAGAACCTCGTCATGAATACTAAATCCTTCTTGGGGTTCAAAAATGTCGGATCGAGTTTTATCTCGTTTCTATACTCTGCTCTGACAGAACACTAGATGTCGTCTTTCAAAGATTTAAGGGTTTTTCGCTCACAATAACCCTGAGGCAGAAGCCCAAAGGAGTTACACGCATGCTCTTCCTCTGTCTTATAATTCAACGGTGGCTGCGCGGAACTCCTTTGGGCTTCAACCTCAGGGTTATTGAGAACAAAGAACCCTAAATTTTGAAAAGACGACATTTAGTGTTCGACAGGGTGTCCAACATCATATTGTTATAGCTTTAAATTGCGATTTCCGGGACTAATCAGAAAATTTAAAAAGAAGGAATCATTTTAAAAAACTGTATATTGCTAATATTAAGATTTGCATGCAAAAAATACTAGGTTTTTCGAGTATTATGTGCGAATTCTAGAGTTAAAGCTTGGAAACAATCTTATGTTACAGGACGCTCTGTATCTGCATGTATTGGTAATTAATCTATGGGTTTTTGATTCAAATAAATAACAAAAATTTACACATACTTTTTTAGATAATAAAATGCCTCCGAGAGATTTATTTTTGTTAATACAATGTGATCACATGATCAGGTATTTTTATGAGTTTCTCAAATTTGTATGAGATCCTATCAAGTGCTAAGAGAATTTGTATTCTATAACAGTTTTAGGAGATTCCTTCAAAGTTTTATGTGATTTTTTCAAAGTTTAATAAGGTTCTGTCAAAGTTTTATAAATATTATCAAAGCTTTCTTGATCCTGTTATATGAGATTTTATCACAGCTTTAACATTTCTTATCAAGTTAAAAAGAAAAATGTGGAAAGGAAAGACAAGATTGTAGCAGTAAACAAGTGTATTTGATGTTGTTAAAGAAAGTAGTTTAGTAGTAACTTATTTTTATATTAATAACGGCTAAGTTAATAATTCTGAAATACTTTCACGAAGTTCGATATTTCCGGACATTTTATGTTTCCGGAAGTTCGAGGAATTTTGACATTTCCGGAAATTCGACATTTCCGGAAATTCGACATTTCCGGAAGTTCGACATTTTCCGAAATTCAACATTTCCGGAAGTTTGATATTTCCCGAAGTTCGACCGTTATACAAAAAATGATAAGGTTTCTTCTAATTGTCTTAAACAATAATTAGCTAAACACAAAACTTTTGAACGTCCAACATTTGAGCACTAAACTGTTGAACACTTAATGAATAGATCATATGGTACTTATGGCTTATGGGGAGGATTATGGAGCACAGGAACCGTTATGTTTGCCTACACTGGCCGACATATTTTAGTAAGCACATTTATTGTTTTGAAAAAATATTTATACAACGAAAATATTGAGCAAAAGATACATTAGAATAGATTGTTTATGACAGGCTAGAGGGCTGAGCGCCGTGGCTAGGACAGGCTAGAGGGCTGAGCGCCGTGGCTAGGACAGGCTGGGGGGCCGAGCGCCGCGGCTAGAACTTGCTCTCTCTCTGCCTTATTATTCATTGTGACCGCTGCCTAATAAATTTTTGCCGGTTACCCTTTATATGATTTAACTAATTGTAAACTAAATTAATTTGATCGTCAGTTTCCAAGCATTTTAAGAATGTGCCGATTTTTGTTAAATTCTATAACTGGGGTGAAATTCACTTTCTCGCATTGACTCCATAAAGCTCACAGACAAAACCGTTCCTCTAAATTATCTTTAAAAACAATTTTCTCATAATCGCGCAAAATTTATCGCGAAAAAAACACAACAATCGCGCCATTTTTGATTGTAGGTAATTTTTGTGTTAATTGCTCTTTGTTAAGGATGAAAAATGGTCTCTTCGTGTCAACAGTTCAAGTTGGGAAGCAGTTGACCTTAATAGATTTATGAAATCAACAACAACAACAACAACAAAAATCTAAAGTTTTCAGCTCTGTACATTTTTTATTTTCCTTGACTGTAGAATTTTACTTAAAATAAAACATTTCATTTGGGTTATTATAGATACAAATAGTAGGCCAAGGGTGTCAAATATCTTTTTTATTAAGGCGGGGTTCAACCCTTTCAAAGATCTTGGCACCAAAGACTATTTGATTTGGATGTAGAATTTTAAATTAATTCGAGAAAATTAGGATATATCATAAAGTTTAAAAAATTTCAGAAAAAAATTTCGAAAATGGCGATAAAGAAACCACCGATGCTTATACTAGTTGTGACTTGTTTCTTACTATTCACAGTAAGGATTTTTTAATATTACTTTTTTTAGTTACGACTATATTTTGGCCTGCTATAGCATGCTATAGGGACATAAACAACATTTTCTGACCTTACTCAGCTTTTTATGAAAAAAATTAGTTTACACTCCTGCATGTGTGTTTACTTGTTTTCTTTTGGATTTCTGCGTCAATGTTGCAATGCAAGTAGAAAAATTATTCAATTTGTTGCACATTTTTAATGGGCCCTGAGTTCATTTTAACCATTTCCCGATTGGTCTATTTTTGTCTAATATAGATTGACTGCGGTATGACTCTCCTCCACCGTACCCCATGCATCTAAAAACATTGACAAAATTTGTTCACAACTTTGATGTTAAAAAAAGTCAAGAAGTTTAAGCGTTCTAATGTCCGCAATTTTTAAGTTATTTGAATAAAAAACCATAGGGGGGGGGGAGGGGGGATGGACCCCCCCCCTCTAAATGATCCACTATAGTTTCATTAGAAGTAAATATTTCTATTTACTGATTGAAGGATTCATATCTCTAATTGGACAATGAGATAGATAGAAAGATAGATGTTACTGCCATACTATTTCTATTGGTTCATAATATAGACAACAAACACATGACTTAACCCTGATTATTATATTATATTATTATATTATATTATTACTTAATTAATTTATTACAATATTTTAGGGTTATGGCGTTTTCCAGAGGTACTACAGTGTTAAGTACATTTCTCCGGGTTCGTGTTTTTGGGCAAACCACGGAAAACAACCATTAGGTGACAGTCAAAAATTTAATTTCTTTTTTAAATTCTTAATGCATATTATCAAGGAAAGATCCTTAATGTAAAGCACTTTTGGTAATCTATTTCTAATGAAAAATGGTTTATGTAAATATGTAAAAACAAGTTTGAACCCCACAATGGGTTAATATTTTGAAGAAGATGTGTTCTTGGTTTGCACAACATCAGATTCTACTCCTCATTTTGGAAATAGTTTATTCCTTGCACACACCAATGAGGTAGTAGCATAGATTAATTAACAATACAGAACCTGACTTAAATTAATTTGAGTTGTGTCTTAAATCCGCCAAAAACCGGTTTCGATTGAGCGCCGGCTTAAATCTTGAAACATTGAATGCAATTTCAAATTTAAGACGCGACTTAAATTCTTTAAATTCGGCCTCTGATTTTGTCTTTTCAAGATTTAGGGGGTTATTATTCTCAATAACCCTGAGGCAGAGGTCCAAATGAGTTACTTTTGCCTCAGGGTTATTGTGAACGAAAAACCACTAAATCTTGAAAGGAACATCTATAGTATTCTATCTGTATTGTTAATTAATCTATGATTACATTTCACAGACTTTTAAATAGAGGTAGTAGGTACCCAAAGACATCATCCTGGATTACCCAGGCCAGAAGGCTTTCATATGTTTGAATATAATTGCGTTTTAACAATCTTAAAACTTGCAGAGTTGCACAAATATCCTTTTAACCTTTTTAACCAGGGGGACGATTTGATACCATTTTGAAGTTTTGTGGCGAACTCTGCGATCTTTCAAAGGAGATCAAAACACTTCCTGGAGATTTAATGGGAACTGTTACAGCTAAGGTAACTAAATAATGTGAACTATTACAGCTAGGGTAACAAAGTAATGGGAACTAGTACAGCTAAGGTAACTAAATAATGGGAACTGTTACAGCTAAGGTAACTAAATAATGTGAACTATTACAGCTAAGGTAACTAAATTATGGGAACTGTTACAGCTAAGGTAACTAAATAATGGGAACTGTTACAGCTGAGGTGACTAAAGTATGGAAACTATTGGAAATAAGGTTACTAATTAACATAAACTGTTACAGCTAAGGTAACTAAATAATGTGAGCTGTTACAGCTAAGGTAACTAAATAATGGGAACTGTTACAGCTAAGGTAACTAAATAACATGAATTGTTACAGCTAAGGTAACTAAATAATGTGAACTGTTGCAGCTAAGGTAACTAAAAAACATGAACTTTTACAGCTAAGGTAACTAAATAATGGGAACTGTTACAGTTAAGGTAACTAAATAACATGAACTGTTACAGCTAAGGTAACTAAATATCATGAACTGTTACAGCTAAGGTAACTAATTTATAGGAACTGTTACAGCCAAGGTAACAGAATGGGAAGTTTACAGGTAAGGTAACTAAAAAATGAAAACTGTTAACGCAAAGATAACTAATGAACATGAACTGTTACAGCAAAGGTAACTGAAGAATGCCAACTGCTTTATCTAGGTTTCTAATAATTAGGATCTGCCATACCCCTCGGATACTCCCCCCAACTGGGGCTCATGGATTTATTACCCCCTTTTATATCCCTGTAAATACATAAACATGGGAAACACGTTAGATTTTCTCCAACCCTATACTGCGGAGAAACCCGTTATCATGTTTCCTCCCAGCGCTGACCCATGGATCCTAGACAGGCAGGGTCAGAAACCATTATCTCAAGTTGACCCATGGATCCTAGACAGGTAGGGTCAGAAACCATTATCTCAAGCTGACCCATGGATTCTAGACAGGTAGGGTCAGAAACCATTATCTCAAGTTGACCCATGGATTCTAGACAGGTAGGGTCAGAAACCGTTATCTCAAGTTGACCCATGGATCCTAGACAGGCAGGGTCAGAAACCATTATCTCAATCTGACCCATGGATTCTAGACAGGTAGGGTCAGAAACCATTATCTCAAGCTAATCCATGGATCCTAGACAAGTAGGGTCAGAAACCATTATCTCAAGTTGACCCATGGATCCTAGACAGGTAGGGTCTGAAACCATTATCTCAAGTTGACCCATGGATCCTAGAAAGGCAGGTCAGAAACCATTATCTCAAGTTGAACCATGGATCCTAGACAGGTAGGGTCTGAAACCATTATCTCAAGTTGACCCATGGATCCTAGAAAGGCAGGGTCAGAAACCATTATCTCAAGTTGACCCATGGATCCTAGACAGGCAGGGTCAGAAACCATTATCTCAACAGCAGGGGAAGGGTAACTCTTGCAACTTCGAGGGGCGAGGAGCTCAGTTTTTATCAAGCCAAGCTCCAAGATAGTGCTCTTCAGCATTTGGGTCTTCCCAGGGAGTATGGAATAGAAGGGAGATATAACTGACGCGGTTCGCCTTACCATATGATTATACATGCTTTGCAGACGTGTACTCCATTTGTATAAGAAATATTCAGAATAGGTTATTGTATACGCGGTAAATATACATCAGACAAATATTTCTTATTCACATGGAGTACCGTCGCATGTATAATCATATGGTAGGGCGAACTGCTTCAGTTATATCTCCCTTCTATTCCTCACTCCCTGGGTCTTCCTCTTATTCGGGTGGACACTATAATATATTAACATCGTCATAATAATTATTTCATAAGTTTCATTAGTTTAAGTGTTAATATTTGGTTTGCTTGTATTAATTTTACCGTGTTTTGTAAATCTTACGTAGTTGAGCTATGTGAGAGAGAGTTTTATTTACCACGCTTATCTTGACCATAGAGAGCAGTAGAGGCAAGTCAACACACAAGGAGTTGTTAAAGATTTAAAACAAATTAAGTTTTTCTTCTTTCATTTATATCTTGCCATTATTACAGTGACTTGCTAAATATTACATTGTTACCCTCTAAGGGTGAGACTGCAAAGACGACTGTAGCCAATTTAGTCAGTCTTTTTCATTACATGTATTGCTTCCTGTAAGCTTGCTTCTAAGCCACATCCTGAAATACAAATATCAATCACCATATATCTTTCATTTTAGGCAGTTATTCATGTCTCAGCCCTTTCTGGGTAACACCTGAATCATATACATTTTATTACCAATTAATCAGTTCATAATTATCTAAATTACCATTTTTCCAGGTTGATTGTGATGCAATATTTGCTAGTGAGGAAATTGACAAACCCAGTGGGCACAAAGCCATGCAGTGGGAAATGATTCCTAAACATATTCAGGTGAGAACCAAAATTCTGCAGACCCTATTTTCTTTCTGCTTGAATTGTAATTTGTTTAATTGTGCTTTCGTTATTTCACAAACATTTAGTGATTCAAAACTATTTTTCCAAAATGCAATTGTCATAATTTTACAAAAATATTCCTCATTTTGACCATCCATATTTAGGAGGAGTTCACTCACTATGGAAAAGTGTCTGTAAAATCTTGGTTTATTGGTAAGAGTATTTGTGCACATTTCGAAGAAATATATCATTGTGTTCGACCAGAAATATATCATTGTGTTCGACCAGAAATATATCATAATTGTGTTCGACCAGAAATATAGCATTGTGTACAACCAATGAAAATTGACAAAAGATATAATAGTTCTATAAAAATCTTGTAGCTTATGGTGGTGTCACATGAAGCTGTCACATATCTTTAAAGACTTTTATTAAAGCTGAAAAAAAACTTTTTAGAATAGCGAAAAGGTTTTCAGTTTATCAGGGCTGAAAGGAACATTAAGTGTAATTTTAAGTAACCCTCATGGGCAGCCGAAGTACATTCGAATTTCAGAGCCGGGTCAACCATTCCGGTTCCAGTTTGTGCTGTATCTAGCTCTATGGACAGGACTAGCCAGTGCATTTAGGTTGACACGGTCAGACTTTATGCTTCATATAGGCTGAATTTACTTTTACTAAAGGGGCAGATTTGCGTGCCGTCCATGCGAAAATGGCTTTGCTCTATTTCCAACGGTAAACCCTGACATCTTCTGATTAATGTGTGGAACTACTGTTGTTTTTCTATGTTCAAAAGTGTTTAATTCTGATAATTCCTGTATGGTTTCCTGCACACAGAAATATGCACACAAGTCACTTTTCTCTAGAGAAACCACAATTAAGAATAATTAGTTTTCAAAATTAAAAACAGTGATATCTAATTCATACTTGATCAGAAAAAGCTTTTAGAGTATCGTTGTAAATCGGTCGTTTTCATCTTTGCATTAAGGGTTTCTTGTAATTAAACTTACTGTCAGTGAACAAGCTTTTTATGGTGTTTTTTATCTTAATTAAGTTTTACAAAATTCTTTAAATATTCATATGATATCAGATAAAAATATTTTGACATTTCTATATATCTTGTTGTTTATTTTCTTCTTGTTCGTACATCTTACGGCTAATTTAAAAAAAAAAAATTTTGCATATTCCTACAGTACAACACTCTACAAGGAAGAACTATGTTAAGAGGATCTTGCGTTTTTTCTGAACTCTGTATTAAATTGAGCTGAGCTGGTTTGCTTTCCTTATTTCTGAACACTGTATTGTGTGTACATGTGTTATATTACCCAGCAACTCATTTTCTAGAATATTTTACTTAGGGTAAAATAAATAGAGGGGGGGGGCATCTCCTAGCCCCCTCTCTAATGTTGTCTCCTTTGGCAATCAGAAAAATTGACAGTTTAAAGCTTGACATCAGAGATTCCCTTCCATTTTCTTTCCTGTTAGATTTTCTTTTGTCTTCTTGTTTATTGTTTCTACTCTTTGAGGCCTCTCCAAATAGGTCTTTTGACATCAAGTTGTGGAGCAGGAAGGAGAGAGACAAGAAAGTTTGTAGGAGGAAGGGTTTAAGGGATTGCGCATTGTTTTCCTTTGTGTTAAAGTCTTTTAGACTAAGGGGAATTTTAAGGAAACCCATAACTGCACCGCGTAAGCAAAATGGGTGGTTGTAAGCCTTAAAACCCCATAAGGATGAATATTCCACAGCAGTCTAGTCCTCACAGCTGGCCGAGAAAAAAACTGGTATTGTTGTGCTTGGCTTGTATACCCATTAGGGGTTATACTCCTTATTTCAGCTGAACCAGGCTGAAGATGGAGTTCTTGTTTTATTTACATATTATTATATTATTATTATATTACATTTGCTACTCCCCTGTAGGACATGTGCAACTAAGCGCAGAGCTCCCTCAAATTGTGAAGCCGGGAAATCTATAAGAGAGGTCCATATTCTTCCCAAAGCTGTAAGCAACTGGCTTTTTATGATGTAACTTTTACTTAAAATATCATTTCCCACAGCGTATGATAAAAATAAAGTTTTGTACTGTCAAGATAAAAGAATTGTCTTTTTTTAAATTTAAATTTGTAATTTTTATTTACAAAAATTTTTTCTACAGAAGAAACACATCAAGGAGGGACACAAAACGTTGGAGTGTATACTAAACCAGAAGTTCAAAGATATGGTGAGTTCCCTCAGAAAAAAAAAAAAAAAAAACTAAAACTATATAGTGCGACAAATATTGAATATTGTTACTGTTGGCACAATAACCCTGAGGCAGACGTCCGAAGGAATTATGTCTTGTACTTCAATACTGCCTGCAGAAAGACGACATCTAGCATCTTATCTGTTATCGTTAATAAATCTATGATTATAGCAATGAACAAATTTTAAGTTTAAATTGAACCATGAATAAATAGAAATACATTAAAATAACTTTTAAAAGTGTCATTCAATTGTGGGTAAAACTAACTCTAAATAAAAATCCTAAAAAACTTAAATCATCTTTATGTAGTTGACGCATTTTTGGGTGGAACCCCTCTTGATAACTATGAATCTGGGAGTAAGCTGGTTAACCAGGTAATATCCTAGCAAAAATATATACAGCTTACAAAATTCGGAATCAATTTTCAAAAACGGGTCGACCTAAAGTATTGCATAGCTTTTGCCTGCTTACCGGAAAAAGATACAGTGATAGTCTAAATGAGCCGGAATAATGTAAATTGATTGATCTTCATAGTCGTCTTTGACCTTAGAAATAGTTTGCGGCATTCAGCATTGGTAACCTGATTTTAGCAATATATTTTTAGGAAACATTTATCACAGAAAAACCCTAATCCTGGCATCCACAAAATATTGTGGTCTTTCATTTTTGTGATTATACAATTACCGGAGATATGAATGATTTCGTCCAGAATGAGACATTTTCATACTTATACTTTATTAGACAAAATTAGCCTAATAGGGATAGGGTTAATAAATAAGTGTCTAATTTTTTAAGGATTGGATGGGGTTAATTGGGCGCTACGACATCTGCTCTAATTCCATTTGCTCTATGGCCATTTGCTCTAGTTCCATTTGCTCTATTAACTATTTGCTCTATAGATCATAGATCACGACATTTGCTCTATATGTCATCTCCTCTATACGTCAATTGATCTATGACATAACACGTCATTTGCTCTATAAACATTTTTATGACTGTGATGGTCCAATTTCTCTACTCAACATTAGCTCTATGAGTAAATCGTCAATTGTTCTATAAACATATTTTACAAATATCTCAGCTCAGGCAAGTTTAGAATATCTTTACCATCTATGAAGTATTACCCACGGCAGAACAATTCTGCCTTCTTTATTCAAGACATCTCCAGTACTGTAGGCACCCTGTTGGTTTAGAGTAGAATAAATATAGTTTTCACCACATATGAGATTTTGTTTACCCCTCTTATTATTAAGCAGTCACTCTGTCATGATGAACTTTGAAGATCTAATTAAAACTGGAATTTGCGAATTTTCCAACAAAAAAATTCACGCATTTCATAGTCAAGTTATGCTCAGGAATTCTAATAAAAGCTATTTTATAATGTATTTTTATGTTATAGAGCAAATGACGTGTTTAGTCATAGAGCATATGAGGTATAGAGCAGATTGAATATAGAGCATATGACTTGATTGATCGAATGGAACTAGAGCAAATGGAATTAGAGCAAATGTCGTAGCGCCATTAATTGTTTTCTGTGCAATGTACATTGTACTAACTGTGATTTAAAGGTCCCACGCTCTGAATAAAGAATCGATGAGAATTTTGCCAATTAATTCTTAAAAACCAATGCTAACAATAAGTGTTTTATGGTGCTAAAATGTACATGTAAAGGGCTACAGAAAAGCATAAGTGAGTTAGAACTGTGAAATCTAAGACAAAAGCGTTGCGACACTTCAAAGTCAACCCTTTTCTTAAAAATTGATGAGACTGTTTATAATACAGTTTACCCCACAGATTTTGAGTCATCGAAGAATTTTTGAAATGTCGTCTTGACAATTTTTCAATGTGTTTTACACTATTATACAGGGTGTCCCAAAAAACATGGGAATTCAGTGACGAATTGGATATTGTCTTTGTTATGAATTAGCAGTGTCTATAATGTCTCTGCAAGATGAACAGTGAAGACCAAGTTTACTCTGTTTGTATATATACTGCAATTTTCTTGTTTTACTAAGTACAATCGTTTGCAGTCAAAACATAAACAAACAAAATGTAAACATAGCAGACGAAACTCTTACAGATTACAACTTTCTCAGAAGGTATCACTGTACTAAATCAAAGAATTTGTTAGAACAAAAATATTCAGAAACTTTGATCAAAAGAATAAGAAATATCTAAATAAAGATTTTAGCAATTGTATCACCAAAAATACATTTAATAATCGTGTTTTAAAATTGTTGTTAAATACAATTTCAAAAGACATTGTTAAAAATGGTAAGTTTGATTTTTATTGAGTTATAGAATTTAATGTTCAGAGCATATTTTAAAGATGAATGAATAAAATGAATCAATAGGATTTTAGAATTTTAGATTTTAGAGTGTAGATTAATTAACAATTCAGATACTACACTATATGTCGTCTTTTCAATATTTAGGGGTTTTTCAAGCACAACAATCCTGAGGCAGAGGCCCAAAGGAATCATGCGTTTTCCGCGTTGTATTATACAAGACAGAGAGAGAGCTGGGCTTCTTTGGGCTTATGCCTCAGGGTTATTGTGAACGAAAAACCCCTAAATATTAAAAAGACGACATCTAGTGTTCTATCTGTATTGGTATTTAATTTATGGTTTAGAGTCTCAGCCAAATAGATGTGAAGAATAAATCTGTCCTTGTAATTGGAACTCAGAATCCATGGGTTGAAGCAATAGTGCTCACTAAGTAGGAAAAAAAAGTTAATTTTCTAAATTTACATTATAGTTTCATGTTTTAAAACGACTCATACCGAAGAATATAGGACCCATCATGACAATTTACAGAGTTTCATTATTTCAATCGAATTATGAATAATTCAATTGAATTTAAAATCAATTATTTAAATATTACAACCTATATTTTTCGAATTAAATGGTATAGTTGATATTTCATAATATCTTACTTTCTTTATACATAATTTACTTTAAGCGACAATTATTTAGCTGCTAGGTGTCTCTTATCTGAAGACTATTATTAGGAATCCAGGTCTAGTAATGACTCTAGAGTATGGAATGTTTAAAAGTGAATATCCAAAACTCGAGTTTGTTACACCAGCAGTTTTCAGGTTTCTATCTTAATTTTTTTTTCAAATCTCATGTTTTTTTTTGAAATATCCCTTTTCTTAAAGTTTTGATATAGAAAATAGGATAATTTAGGAAATATGCAAAAGATTAGAAATTTCTAAACTATGTTTTCAGTTCAAACCAATTATAATTGTAATTATCGGTACCAGTGCATGGATCCATTACATTTTGATGCGGATTCAGATCAAGGAGGATGGTTCAACCAAGTCCACCAAGGGAGAGGATGCATGGCTTCCATGAGCCCCGCGAAATGGCCTCCCGAGCCTCCTGATATGCTGGTAATTCGAAAAAAGCTTGCTAGCAATTAAAACTTAAATAAAAAAGTCGTCTTCATTATATTGATGTATGAAAAGATATATTTTGATTTTTGGTTGGTTAAGCCATAAAAGGTAAATAAAAAAAGTAAAGTTAATTGGGGATCAAAATCTGGGGCAAAGAGACAAAATGGCAGAGGCTTAGGGGCATAGGAAGTGGCACGGAAATGGTTCTGCCAGGCTTGGAGGTCAATCTGTGTATCAGGAGACTCTGTAGGTCATTTCGCAGGGCTCATGGCGGCTCTGCACCCCCTCCCTCGTCCACCTCACCATATTATAAAACATGCTTAAGAAAGGGTACTCCATTTGGAAAATAGATTTGTTTAAAGTCGTCTTCTTACTTTTTAATTGTGTTTTAGTTTACTAAAATAAATAAAACTGATGTTCTTTAATTTTAGTAAAATTACCTCAGTCTACACATTTTTTGCATCCACATAAATGTCTTTGTTTGTTGTTATTTTGTTTACTTTTCTTCCTGTGATGTATACCATGGCCTATTTTAAATACAAGTACTCGGCGTGTGTACATCAGACATTCATAAAGGTCATTGTATACATTCCCTAGCAACCAAGGGACGTCTAAAGGACGTCATAAGGACGTCATCGATTAGCAATGCATCGTCCATAGACGTCATCTTTTTGGTGTTGGGGAAGTTGTAAGGACTTAAAACGTAAACTTTTTATGTCCTCACGAACCTGGCCTAAACCAACCTTAGGGGACTGGTCATGTTTCAACCAGTTAGTTAATCCGACATAACCTGACCAATCTTGACCAAATCCAGCTAAGTGGATTGGTCAGATTAAGACCAGTAAGAGAACAGGTAGGTAACCCAACCTTTTCTGACCTAACCTGACCTAACCTGACCTAAGGGGATTAGTCATATTTTTATGTAACCTGACCAAATCTAACCAAAGTGGATTGGTCAAGTTAAGACCAGTATAAGACCAGTTAGGTAATTTGACCAAACCCTGACTAAGGGGATTGGTCAATGATTATGTTTCGACCAGTTAGGTAATCTAACGTAACCAGACAAATCATAACCAAATCCAATCTTGGTGGACTGATCAGGTTAAGACCAGTAGGAGACCAGTTAGGTTACCTAACCTAACCTGACATATCTCAACCTAAGGGGACTGGTCATGAACTGACCAGTTAGGTAACCCAAACTAACCTGACCTATCTCAACCTAAGTGGACTGGTCATGTACAGACCAGTTAGTTAATCCTACATAACCTGATCAATTCCGACCAAATCCAAGTGGACTGGTCAGGTTAAAATCAGTATGAGACCGGTTAGATAACCCGACCTAACCCAACCTAAACTGACATATCCCGACCTCAGGGGACTGGTCATGTTCTGACCATTATGGTAATGTAATATGTAACACGACCTAACCTGACCTAACTTAACCTAGAGGACTGGTCATGTTCCGAACAGTTAGGTAATCCAACATAACCACAACCAACCCTGACCTACCTCAACCTAATGGGACTGGTCGTGTTAAGTCGCTGGTTGCCAAGGTTATACTGCAAGAAAAGTAGGCTGAATAACGCAACCCAAGACACTCTTTCCCAAATGGAGTACCATATGTTTAGCATTCACAGAGAGGAAGGGAATCCCCTGACACCATGAGCCTCTGCTATGCATGCATGAGCCTTAAAGATTTGCTAGGCAGTCCAAAGCTCCGCCATGCAGTATAAGAGCCTCCGCTTTACAGTAAATGAGCCTCTGCTATCCAGTTTCCTTAAATCTCTTGGTTTTACATGTAGTAGAGAATTTTTGGTATTTTTTTTCAAAGTAGTGGAATAAAAAGTTTTCCAGAGATCAGAAGCATTGATCAATTATTATAAATAGTGAATTATTATGAAGTTTAGAAACTTCAAACATTTTTTACCCAAAAAAGTAAATATTTAGAGAAACAATCTTTAAGTAAATTAGATAGATAGATAGATAACGTTTATTGCTAAAATACATGTATCTGTATACAGAACGAGTTTACACTTACAAATTGATGATTATATTAACAGTACAAGTATAAAGCAATTAGGTGGAAAATTGCTCTTGTCTGTTTTGATTATTTTTTTCACCTAATTTCAATAATGATAACAACACATTTCAATTAAATAGATTTAAGAAGAACTATTAGAGATCAGGGTGCGATTTTATCTTATGCAAAATTTATTTGATGTTTTCTAATATTTTATTTAAGTGATACTTTTTAAAAAAAAATTTCAAATTAAGATAATCGATATCTTAACATTCACAAATAATTTTAATCTAAAAAACTTTGGAAAAAACGTTTCTTAAATCAAAGATGAAAACATAATAGACTAAGTTCAATTCAGAAATGAATTTCCAAATAGCCTCCTTACTGCACAAGAAATGTTTTATTGTATAACATAAATCTTATAAACCACTTTATGAGTCAATATAAGTTACAAATTATGACAATCAATAAACAACATTAATCTTAAATAAAATTATTGTGCCACTATGTTGAAAACAAAAACAAAATCTATATTACATGTAAAAAACAAGAGTTATAAGTAAGCTATGCTATATAGCGGAGGCTTGTATACTGCATAGCGGAGGCTCTTACTGCATGAGAGGGAAGGCTCGGTCTGCCTAGAAAATCTGGAGGCTCATGTCTGCATGGCGGAGGCTCATGACGTCCAGGAGGGTTCCCTACCTTGCATAGAACAGGTAGCATAGAAAAATCATTGATGGGGACTGCCCTGCAAAAGTGGCCTAAAAAGGGATTTACGCTGGTTGACGTCAATGATCCTTCAATGCCACCTGTTCTGTGTTATAGCATGTAATAATCATAAGATCTACAACATTGGGTTGTAATAAATTATAAAACCAGAGTTTGTGCCAAAGGAGCTCAAATCCTTTAAAAAAAATTTTTTTTTGGCATAATAAGTGCCCATTCCTGGACACACTCTATTATTTCTAAAAAACTTTTTAAAAACTGATTTCTTGTCTTAAGCTCAGATTTTTTCATCCCTTATTATCCAATAGTGCAAATCTTTGACATTTAATACTAGACTATGAATTATGTTAAATCAACTAGTTTGCATTTGAAATTTTAAAGGTTTGTACATAGATAAAGATAGATTGCGCATAAGATGACATTTTTCATCTTGAAAGATATACATGTACAGAGATGTTTTAAAGATATTCCTGTTATATAGATTAACTAGGTCGGTTGTGAACATTGGCTGTTTTTATGTCATTGAGTACTTGTGGTGTACATGAGTTCTGTAGAGAGAAATGTAAGCTAGTTTAGTCCTTCTCATGTCCTTCTTCAGTTCTCGTCAATATGATATATTGCTCAGTGAAATATTGTTGTTCAAATAGTTCCATTCCCGGAGTTATTTTACACTCTATTATGAAATCCATTAAAACACCAAACCACCCCGCTTATCATTAAAGTACAATTTGACCCCTAGAAGTATGAGTTCGCGGACTGTACAATTCTTGGTGATTTTGCTTACATAAGCTATCTATGTTTATTTTTTTATCTATGGGTTTGTACCACCGGCAAAAACATAGACCGGGAATAAGAAAATTTGAGTTTGTGACAAGAACTCAGCTCCTTTATAACCATTCTAATAATATGTTTAGAGAAAGATATAGAAAAGGAGAACTTCCCCTTTTTGATATAATAATATCATACTCTTCATTAGAACACGCTGGGTTAGGTTAGACTTTAAGTTTTTTTTTTAATTTTTAATGAAGATAGAATACTACATGTCTTTTCAAGATTTATGGGGTTTTCGTTCACAATAAGGAATTACGCGTTTGCCGCATTGAATTACAAGTCAGAGAGAGCTTTTACCTCAGGTTTTTTGTGAACAAAACCCCCTAAATCCTGAATAGAGACCATCAAGTGTTCTATCTGTATTGTTATTTAATCTATGGTTACAGGTGTTCTATCTGTATTGTTAATTAATCTATGGTTTCAAGTGTTCTATCTGTATTGTTAATTAATCTATGGTTTCAAGTGTTGTATCTGTTTTGTTGATTAATCTATGGTTTCAAATGTTCTTTCTGTATTGTTAATTAATCTATGGTTTCAAGTGTTCTATCTGTATTGTTAATTAATCTATGGTTTCAAGTGTTCTATATGTATTGTTAATTAATCTATGGTTTCAAGTGTTGTATCTGTATTGTTATTTAATCAATGGTTTCAAATGTTCTTTCTGTATTGTTAATTAATCTATGGTTTCAAGGGACTCTTTATTTGTAGAGTGACAAATTCGAATCACAACAGTGTTCTTAAAACCTTTGTCTGATCAAAACTAAATTACCTTTTTGAAATTTCAATATTTTTATTTGTGTCTGCAATTGTGAGAAAAATGTCAGAATCAAACACTTTCAAGTTAGAAAACGACGATATCTTCCACTTAATTGATCAGACAAAGCTTATAAATGTACCATTTGGAATTGGAAGTGCCCATCTTTAGTCTTTTTTTTTAAAGCAAGTGACAGAAACATCCACGTTTTCTATCAGAACAAAATGCTACTTTGCAACTGAGGTTTCTCTTTTAAAAGTGACTTTCAACTTTATGCAGCAGAAACAAGGAAGAAAAGAATGATATACAAATTAAGATAATAACTGTTAAAGATTGAAGATCAAAGATTTAAGGGGAATTGGGCAAGTAACCCTTTAGCTGGGAAGTTATTTGAAATTATGTTGACAGACGCTTAATATTTTTGCCATATAATATCAGTGCTATTCAAAAAGAATAGGAATGATTTTGCACCTGCGTTTTGAGAAATACCGATAAATATGCTATAATTTAAAGATTTGTGTCTATTATATCTCTTGAAATGTTCACAGAATATACATAAGCTGTTATAAGCTGTCTGGGTCAAGGTTGTATAATAAGACAGGTTACTCTCGATGAGCTCCAATGTACGGAAAATGCCGTCTCCTCAGCTAGATAGATTAAACCTAATATGACGTCACTTTCCCCTCTATAATCAGTGACTTCATATTGGGGTTTTATCTATCTATCTTAGGTGACGTACATTGAAAAGCATCAAGAGAGACCAACCTTATTATGCAACCTTAGTCGGCATCATCCTACTGAAACATGTGTGGCAATGATTTATTAAAATATGGAAAGGGTATCACAGATACCGTATCAGGAGGACAGAAACAAAAAAAAATACAAGAGCTTCTTTTGACAACCATCAAAGGAATTTTCCCCGTTTTCCTTAATTTCAGAAAGATGAGAATCATAATGAGGGGTCGTGTAGACCACACACCCCCTCACCCCTATTAAAAGGGAACAAGAATTGGAATGTGTTGATAAGACAGGATCATAGGAGCCTCAGATGGTCAACTAAACCTGCACCTTGCCCCCACTCCGTACCAATCTTTCCCTAGCTGCCCTGGCCCAATGTTCAATTGACTGACCAACCCCCCAATCCAACTTCCCCTGTTCCCTTGGAGAAATGACCCATCAGATCAGATAGGGGAGAGAGATGGTTTGCCAGGATATAAAAGGAGACCTAACAAAGAATATCTTCAGTTGCGACGAAGCCTCCTAGAAAGAGTGCAGAGGAACAGAGTACAGAAGCCAAGAGTCACAGAGTCCAGCAAAGCGATCCCCAATTCAAGAGGGGCAAGAGTCCAGCGCCAAGGGTCCAGAGACTTTAAATCTACGAGTCCCAGATCCAGTGTCCTCAATCCTCTTTAAGTAGAATTGTAAATCAGGTTTCCCTTTAATCTCGTTTTAATGCAATTTAATCTTAATACAGCATTTGTTACTTTAATAGTTGCAGAGATTAAAACACACTGACTCTTTTGTTCTTTTATAAGATTTGATTTTAGCCAACTGTACTAGATACGTCCATACAGTACATTGAATAAAAAGAGTTGTGTCAAGCATTATTTATATTCTAAAAATTGTTCTCTACAGAATGACAAGAAGTAAAACGTATTCATTGACCTTTTTGTATGAGTTCATGATGTACAATTTTCAGCTTTACAGTCTGCACAAGCAATCTAGGATTATTTACTATCTGAAAGAAAAATCAAATAATACCTTTTTGTATTCCAGTTCTTTAAGAACACTGTATTCTTTGAAATATGTTTTGTAACATTCTTTTGCAAAATTCCTTTATAAATTTTGATTTAATATTGTTTGGTAATATGGTTTTGTAACTGTTTTGTGATATTGTATTGTTATATTGTTGTATTGTTTGTAATATTGCTTTGTAATATTGTATTGTAATATTTTTTTAATATATTTTTAACATTGTTCTTTTTAGTTCTTTTTATATTATTTTGTAATGTTTTTTTGTAATATAGTTCTGTAATTTTTTCAAAAATATATTGTCGTGAGACTTTAACTTTAACAATAAAGAGAAAATTCTGTTCAAAAATGTTATGTTACGTCCTGTCAAAATAATAGTATTATATGCATAGAGAATAGAATATATATTAGAGGGGAATTTACTCAAAGAAAGTGTAAAACGACCATTTTGTTGTACTGTTTCCATACTGCAGGTGTACTTCACATATTTATGCTATATAACCTGTTGGGCCCTGGAATATCATTTAATAGAAAATCTATAACGAATATTAAAAGAAAACCAAATTATGAAATAGGCTGGTTTCATAATTGACCAATGATCATTTCACATAGACTCTATGCCTTTCACTTTACAAACGATGATTTTCCGTTATAACTATAAATCAAATGATGTTTTTATTCACCTAATTCATTATAAAGTTTATTTAACAGTTTAAAAAATTCGAAATTGAAATGGATAGTCTAGGGAACATACTGTATTAATGTACTCTACTGCATATAATTTGTGAACATTTACATGATTTGTACACTTTGAACTCCCTTTCAGGCTAAAAGAGACAGAAAAAATTCATATCGAGGGATTTTATAAATTCCCCTCTAATATATATTCTATTCTCTTTGATTATAGGTAATTTTTAAAATATTGTGTATCTTCTAGTCTTAATGGTTTTTTAGATATGAATAAGAAATTATTCTAAAGCACAATATTTAAAAGTTGTATTGATTGTTTTAAGGACGTTATGGAGATGCTCTAAATCCATGGGGGGATATTTTAACTGTTGCAAGAGTCAGCTGTGTCTCAAAACCTGATGCGAAGGTAGAATAAAAGTATTTTTAAAAATGGTTCAAGCAGTTTTTAAGTATTCCTATATTAATAACAAACCCTTTTACTATCAATCTTAACGTGAAAAAATGCAATTTAAGAGATTCTTGTATGTCTTAAAAACTTAATCTAGAATTTTGTTTTTTTATAAATTATTTATTAAATATCGGAGATAATCATTAACTTTAATAATCAAAAAGTTAAAGATGAATAGTACTATAATGGGCCTATTCGTATTAAAAAAATTACTGTGTGCTATATGGGTTTAGACTTTACTTTAGAAATGTATGTTGCAAAAGGTTTTTCAAGTTTAACTGATATCTTTGAATTTACTTTTACTGATACTAACTATATAATCTTGATATTATTTTCATTACTCATAGATAAATTAACAATAACAGATAGGATACTAGATCTTTTCAAGATTTAGGGGTTTTCGTTCACAATAACCCGAAGGCAGAGGCCCAAAGGAGTTACACGCAGCATGCTCTCTCTCTGTCTTGTAATTCTGTAACTCCTTTTGGCTTCTACCTCAGGGTTATTGTGAACAAAAAACCCCTGATCTTGAAAAGACGACATCTATTGTTCTATCTGTATTTTCATTAAGTATTACTTTAATAGTTAATTATTGGAGTCCCAACTGCAGGATTAGACAGGATAGAGTTTAATGCTCACAGGTTAGATTTCATAAATGTTTGGGACTTTCCCAATCATAAGTTCCCAACAGCATTTTCATAAATACAAAATCCCAAGAGACAACTTCTCATGTGCCCGTCAGGACATTTGGAGGAAAATGTACGCTAGATTCTGACGTGTGTATTTTGCGTAGTCAACTACACTGATCATTGTTCTTACCAGGTGCAGAACGTGGAAAAGGGATATGAAAATAAACCAACATTTCGTGGGGGTGGGGGGGGGGGGTTAGGGGGGCCCTGTACAAATTGTTCAGAGGTGCACTTTTTCTTTTGAATAGATATATATGAAACTAAGAGAAATCCAAAATATTTTTTATTTTTGACCATTTTTTCCGGTGCCGTCGGAAAAAACGTGATTTTTTGGCCGTTTTTGAACTTTATTGATTTTGTTTCTTAAAACTTTTATAAAATCCAAAGTTTTTGACTGAGAATAATGTTTTATATCATTTTGGAAATCCCAGATAATGGTTTAAAAGATACCACCAACTTTTACTGAATATTTTGAAAAATCATAGACTTATAAGCAGTTTTAGCCCCAAAATTATTGATTTTATTGATGCGCGCTTGCAGCTCACTAACATACCCTGAGAACTGAACAAAAAAAATTAATTTTTATTTTCATTTTCTATATTTTATACTTATTCTAAAATGTCATTACTTTTTGAAATACCTTCAAAANCGACTATTACGCCAAAAAACGGATACCAATTTGATCACTTTCAAGTGCGTAGCAGCTTTATTCATAAAACACCACAGCTGGAGACTCCAACGACAGCATATTTTAACCCAGTTTCCTAGAGTTTCAAAATACGTTTTAAGAACATGAAACCCGAACTCTGCCAAACCCGGGTTTCAGGAAACCGGGTATCGTAGCGAGTTTTATAATTTTCTTAAGTTTTGCACTCTGACGGGCTCATGTGCACTCTTTTCAACTTCCCAACTGCACTTTCTAATTGGAAATATTGCTCTAATTGGAAGTATTGGTCGCTTGAACGTGGTACCACGTGCAGTACTTCAAGCAAGTAGTTCCAAGTGGTAATATCCCAAATGTTTCAGACAAAAATTACTAACTTACCAAATGTATAAATTTCAAGTTTTAAACATCCCAAATTAACTTTTTTCAAAACTTCCTGAGTGACAACTTCCCATTTACTATTACTGCATGGATACACAAAAACATAGAAACAAAGAGAAGCTGTCGATTAATAAAGCTTCATTTATTCACCTGTAATTCAAAGCATGTAAACCATTAAAACTGTAATAAAAAGTGGTCTTGCTTATATTGATTTAATCGCCTACCACCGTACCATAATCTTACAAATAGAGCATAAACTGTTCCTCTTCAAACCCAAGTTATTGTAAAAAAAAGTATTCCTTTTCAAGAAAGCTATATAACTAATACCTATAGCAGCTTAAATGAAACCTACTATTTAGCATAAAGGATGCTTAAAAGGAGAGACCGGCTAGATAACATATTTGAACTGAGAGTGCAGTTTTATAGAGACAGACTTTAGGATTCATTTGATACCACTAAGACGTATTAATGGCATGTATACGAAAAGGTTGGCACAAATAAATGGGCAGAGAGACAGAATACCTTTAATCTGAGGTGTAGCAGGAATCAACGGAGAATCAGATATCATAGTTCCCCTGCAAGGTATTGACTCTGATAAAGAGGAGCAATAGAAGGTTTACAATTGCGCCCTCATGGACAAACTTGAACTGGGATTTGATGGCAGGGAGCCTGTACGAAGGAGAGGGTTGAACATGGTGAGGTGGAGGAAGGGCGAATTCTGATACTGCTTTCTCTATCTTGCCAAGAAGACCAGAGCTGGGAAGTTCAGGACTGTCCAAGGATGGTAAAAGCTGTACCATTATACAATGCACAGTACGGCATATTGAGCCTCGGAGACAAAGAATCCTGTGCCAGCTGAGTAGAACCATAGGAAGGTGAGAAACCCTGCAGTTTGAATCTGCAGCTCTGGCATGGAGATCTAAAGATATAAGCAAATCATCAAGCACTCAAGCATCTTGTTATTCAAATATGATAATAATAGTTAAATAATAAGTTACAATTTTTATTTTCAAACACGACACTATGTTTTTAAGGCTCAATGAGTGGACTTCTTCAAAAGAAAAAGTCATTTTTTTATGACTTTTTGACTGGGATTAAAAAGTCGACTTTTTTACAATTTTTTGTTCCAAGTTTGTGGACTAGTTCAAAACTGGGATCAAAAAGTCGACTTTTTTACTACTTTTTGCTCCAAGTTTGTGGTCTAGTTTTAAAAGTCAACTTTTATCTAAATCAGGCTAAAACGCAAGAACTTTGATGTCATCGTTGTAAAGAAGGTCTAAGGAACTTAACTCAGCCGGGACATTATCACTGTCCTTGGGCATTGTCACTTGAGGGTGTAGCTAGAAAAAGTCTCTATAACAGAATATTCGTCGCAAACTGTAGGGAAAAACAAACTTGGGGGGGGGGGGGTCACCAGTTTAGCTACGCTCAATAAGGATAAGTTTCAATGTCTTTAATTTATTAAACAACTTAAAAAATCTATATATTCTTAGCGAGAACAAGGGATGAAGCTATCTTATATTCTCTCCACCACGTACAGCTCTCCAGGAATCCTACGAATCATCTTCCGCCACATAATTGCAAAAATTTTACTAAGAAAATGATTCATGTCTTAGTGTTATCAAATGAATCCTAATTTTTCTTCTTTATAATCCTGCACTCTCGGTTCAAATATGTTACCTAGACAGTTTCTGAGTCTTTTTATTTAAAATAATGAACCTGATATTATTTTTCCCCCTTAGGGTATATGGACCGATTCTTTACCCTTACTTAGTGACCAACTGGAAACTGTTTTGGACATCAGCAGGTACTCTTTTAATTTATTTTAGCAATATATGTACATATGTATATATATTATATATTTATTTATGTAAAACATTTATAAAGAGACTAGTAATCAATAATTACCAATACATTTTATTCTATTCCATTCATTCTATTTTGAGAATTCTATTCATCTATTCATTTTATTCAGAGATATTTATTCATTAATTCATTTTATTCAGAGATATTTATTCATTAATTCATTTTTTTCAGAGACATTTATTCATCAGTTCATTTTATTCAGAGATATCTATTCATCAATTCATTTTATCAAGAGATATCTATTTGTCAATTCATTTTATCAAGAGATATCTATTTATCAATTCATTTTATCAAGAGATATCTATTTATCAATTCATTTTATTAAGAGATATCTATTTATCAATTCATTTTATCAAGAGATATCTATTTATCAATTCATTTTATCAAGAGATATCTATTTATCAATTCATTTTATCAAGAGATATCTATTTATCAATTCATTTTAGCAAGAGATATCTATTTATCAATTCAGTCGAAAATGAAGAAAAGTTTAGATTTTTTCAGATTTTTTTTAGGAAATTATAGACCGGCTGCTGATGAACAAGCTGTCTACCAACCTGTTTATATGTTCGAAAAAAATCTTCAATGATTTAAATCTTGATATAATTTTCTTGAATGTTTATTTACAAGATCGTTTTAACATAAGCAAATTAAGATCTTTTATTTAAAGGGACCGTAGGTGTTATTTTAACTGAACCTTTTTTATATTTCGTCTTTCTTAATCAGACAAGGGTGTAAAGGGAGAGACTGCCTGGCACGGTAGTTTAGCTGAGAGTGAAGTATTTGAGACCTATGAAACGTTTTTACGGTGTATAACTATTCAGCAAGAGCGCAAAGTAAATATTTAAAATCCTCCGCTGGGCAAACCTGCCACTGCACAATCTGCTAGGCAGGCATGCCGTACCACAACCAGTCGGGAAGGTTGTGGCTGCCACACCTACCTGGCTGGTTGTTCAATCCAGGAGGATTTTTATGATTGAATTTTCACCCTTGCTGAACAATTATACAGCGTATAAACGTCTCATAGGTCAAAAATGAATCCTGAAAAATTTCTCTACAATACTGCACTCTCAGCTCAACTACAATGTCTAGTCAGTCTCTCCCTTTAACAGGTATTGATTTGAATAGGACGTGTCACAATACAAATGGAGTCCCTTTAAATAAAATAAAACTAAATTAAATAAAATTTTTCAAATAATTGAATGTTTTTTATTTATGTAAGATTGAAAATATTAAATAATTTTTAATGTATATCTATATTTTGTTTTAATAAACACTTTCAGAAATGTATTTATGGAAGAAAGACAATAGCATTAGCTTTAATGACAGAAATTTGCTTTGTTTTGTTTTGATCTTCAAGGAACCTTAAATATTTATGCAAGTAGACTTCAGCTTATTGGTCAGGGTTGTATAATAAGGTTGGTTACTCTCGATGAAGGTGGTTGGTTGTGTGCAAGGTTACTCTCGAGTCTCGATGCGATCCAATGTACGGAACAGGTCGTCTCCTAAGATAGATTTTATTACGATTAAGATTTGATATTTATCTATTATAGGAGACGACATTTTCCGTACATTGGATCGCATCGAGAGTAACCTGACTTATTATAAAACCTTGCACACTGCAACAAACCACCTACAGGAAAGTTTTAGTCCTTAACTTATCTTTGCAACTCTCTTTTCTCTGGTTTGATCGGAGCCATTGAACCCCGGACCGATTTGCCTCATTTTATTTTAGGGAGCACTGCAAATTTGAAAAGTCGACTTTATTCACCATTTTATTTTGTTATTTTGGACAGCACTGTATAATTATGAGAAGTTGTCTTCATTTACCATATAATTATGGGAAGCACTGTATATTTACGAATAGTTGTCTTTATTTACCATTTTATTTTGGGGAGCACTGTATATTTCTGAGAAAAAAAATTGTCCCTGACAATGATAAAGTTCCCCCTGCAAATTCTAAAATGTCCCTTTTCTTGTTTTGTGACAACAACGTAAGTACTGTCAGCACGTTAGGGTCCCCAAGCAAGTTTGCTGTACTAAACCAATAACGTTAATAATCATTAAATTATTTCGCTCCTGAAATATCAACAATTAAAATAAATTTATCGATTATTTTTTGAACAAACAAATAAAGCCTTATTAATTACCTATTAAATGACGTTAAAATTAGGTCCATATCTCAAATATAAAAAATTAATCAAAAAAGAGCAACCGAAAAATCCGGAAATTTGTTGCGTAAACCGGAATTCCAGGAAAATTCCGGATCAAATGGAAACCGGAATGTTTACGGTTTACGTGACGTAATCCGAAACTTTTGCGGTTTACGGAATGGAAACCGTAAAATTTCCAGTTTTCATTTCGTAAAAACAAAAAACATTGTTAAATGCAACAAAAACATTGTTAAATACAACAAAAACATTGTTAAATACAACAAAAACATTGTTAAATACAACAACAAACATTGTAAATACAACAAAAACATTGTTAAATACAACAAAAAACAAGGTTAAATACAACAAGAAACAATGTTAAATACAACAAGAAACATTGTTAAATACAACAATAAACAATGTTAAATACAACAAAAAAAATGTTAAATACAACAAAAAGCATTGTTAAATACAACAAAAAGCATTGTTAAATACAACAAAAAACATTGTTCAATACAACAACAAACATTGTAAATACAACAACAAACATTGTAAATACAACGAAAAACATTATTAAATACAACAAACATTGTTAAATACAACAAGAATATTGTGCCAAAGAAGAGTTATAGTTGCAAGCATATGCTCCAAACAAGAGAAGCCTGGTTAAATTTAAGGACAAAATGCTCAAGGGTTTGTATGAATATATATACAATATACATATATTATAAGAATAACATTTTTTTCTTTCTATATGAATTTTTGGCGAATTATAAAGTTTTCGTGCATATAAATGTTATTTTTTGGTTCAATCAAAATTTGAGGCAAATCGGTCAAGGGGTTTCAGTGTTATTATCGGACATCCTATCAAATAGACAAACAAACAGAGATTACATCTTTATATATATAAATAAATATTCTTTGCTTGACTTTTTCTTTGTTTGTTTGTATTGCTGATAATTGACTGAACGGATCGTGCTCTATTATTTGTGTTACCTCACAAGACCCCAGGGAGTTTATGGAACATCAAAATTGAAAAAAATAGTTGTTTTGTTTTAAAAATCGCCAATTCCAAAAGCAAAATCCGCCAAAATTTGACAATTTTTTTAAACAACAGTTAAAAGCTAAAGTTATTTACAGGAAAGAGGGCGCAGAGCGCCCTAAACGTCTAGTATATAAAAACATAATTATGAATAATGTATACCAAAGAGTTAGTTTTGTCAATTGATAATAAAAATTAAAAAGTTTTTTTTAGAAAAATTGCTTTTAAAACGGACCAGGCAAAATTTTAATGTTTATTTTAAATTTCAGCATTGTTTAGGTTTAAAGTAGCAATAGGAATTACGTGTTTATGTCCTGTAAATTTCCGTTTTTCATTATTATTAAAAAGGCCAATGTGGGAGACTAGATCCCCACGGATGTCTCATCGAAGACCCCCAGATTTTTATCGCAGACCCCAATCCTTTCATCGGAGACCCCAATGTTTTCATCGGAGACCACCCAATTTTCATTGGAGATCCCAAGGTTTTAATTGAAGATCCCTAGATTTTCGTTGGAGACCACAATCTTTTTATTGGAGACCCTAATCTTTTCATTGGAGACCCCAATCTTTTCATTGGAGACCCCAATCTTTGTATTGGAGACCCCAATCTTTGTATTGGAGACCCCAATCTTATCCATTGGAGACCCCAATCTTTTCATTAGAGACCCCAATCTTTTCATTGGAGACCCCACTTTGGAGACCCTTATCTTTTAATCTGAGACCCCAGATTTTACTGGAGACTCCTGAATTTTCATTGGAGACCCCAAGATATTGATCAGATCCACCTCAAAGTAAGCTTGCATTAAGCTTTGGTTCTCGTTGAAACACACGAGTGTAGATCTTGCCTTGATAATTGGCAATTGAATCGAATATAGCTTGAAAAATAGTTTTGGTCCTTGTTGAATTTTACGAGTTGAGATTTGGACTGTGTGTCCTTTAGATCCGGGGATAATGTGGCATTTAGAATAGGAGAGTTAATCCTAGTTGATCTTGGAGTTATAGTTGCAAGCATATGCTCCAAACAAGAGAAGCCTGGTTAAATTTAAGGACAAAATGCTCAAGGGTTTGTATGATGCAGAGTTGAAGGAAACATGTTTGTTTTTTATGCCTAAGGAAAAAAAACAGAAGGGAGATGTTAAGGCAGTATTAGACCGATAGCTAGTGCCTGATAGACATGAGTTAAAAACTGCATATGTCAATACTTTTGAGATGATAAAAACAGCTGCAAGAGAGCGGACAAAATGTGGGAAATAGGAAACAGCAACATAGAGAGCTCTGGGAAGACAGGAAACAATAATATGTTTTAATTGTATGATCTGAGAGTTACTTATAAAAACATTTATTCCTGTTTCGAGGATTTTTGGTAATGAAAACGACATTTTCATATTTTCCTGGAATGTTCGAAAACAAGTTGGAAGCTAAATGTTATTTTAAAAAATATAATCAAAACATATTTTGAAAAATCAACTATATACAAATGTGGCGAAAGATAATCGATGACCATAGGGTGTAATATCTGAATGATTTGTTTGAAATTAAATAGATTTTTTTACGGTCTAAGTCGTATGTTGCATCTTTCTGAATTTGTATGGACACTACGTTTTTCGGTATTAGTCGATTTTAACAATTTTTTCCTTATAGACGCAACAGATAGAAGTAAGATTAGAAGCGATCAAAAGCACTTTTTTATCGCATTAAGCCTTTACCCCCTTTCATTTTTCGCGAACACTCCCTTTAAGGGACTGTAAACGTAATTAAAAATAACCTTCCGTTCAAAGTGGGACATCCCGGATTCACAACGGTACCCTTGTAAAAAACATGATTTAAATCTAACGTGGAATTAACTTTAATTTGACGGGACCTTCTGTTTTGATATTAAACACACTTGTGTCAAACATACATCTTTAAACATACAATCAACAAAATAATGTTCAGTTCATTTAGATTTATCAGAAAAAAATGTTTTTGTGCAGATTTTCTAAAAACTTGCATAAGTAAACTGAATCCAATTATCCATATTTTTCCTTTTATAAATCTCTATTTAGATCTGTAGCAAGTATCTACTCCATAACAATTTATCCAGGTCTTACTTGTTTTCCAGATCAACCAGGCTTAACTCCAGGATTAACTCTAGGCTTAACTCCAGGCTTAACTCCAGGCTTAACTCCAGGCTTAACTCCAGGCTTAACTCTAGGCTGTCTCCTCTATAAAGATATTAGATAATACTAAACTGATTAGTTCATGAGCAGTAAGTNCAAATATCCTTGGTTCTAAGAAATTACCGAGAATTTGATAATGTTTAGAGAAAATCTCAACAGTAATTTGAAACACTGAAAATTTTTATCTGAGAAATATATCCTCACTAAAGCGTGACGCAGGCGAAAATTTCATTTGAATGAAATATTAAAATCTGATATCTTTCTCAGACATATTTTTTTATTTATTTTAACCATGGTTTAATAGCTCCTGTTTTTACATTTTCCTGTTTTCAATCTCACTTGCTCAGCGAATCTGTCCTCTTGATTTTATCCTTCTCCTGGGTTTCTGAATTCATCTCCTCTCCGTAGCCTCGCTCTTTACGATGATCTCCAACTCCACTGCCTCCGTCACCAAGCTCGACAGAACCTTGTCCATCGTCTCCTTGATAATAACAGCCTCTACATATATAACTGTGGAAATCTTGACATTCTTGACTATGATTGGATTTCCGGCGGACACTGCTTTAAATTTTCCCAATTGACCTCAATTATTTTGAACACTTTGTTTAATGTTTAATTGGTCAAACACATGAACTTTTAAAGGGAGTGACCGGCTATGTAAGGTAGTTGAACTGAGTATGCAGTGTTGTGGAAAACTTCTTTCGGATTCATTTAAGACATATTAAACTTTTTAGAGATCTGTAAATCCTGAGGTTGAGTGCAAATTCGTCGTTCAAAACTCCTACTTTGGGGGTGGATACGTTTTCAGAATTATTTTTTTTTAATTATTAAATAACGACGACATAAAATGTAAAAAGTTCTGCAATGAACTACAGACGTCATGTATAGGAACATGTTGAGAAAATAAAAATTAATCTTATCATCGAAAATAAGTAATCTTGTTCAATTCTTAGTTTCTATTTTCTCATTATTCTGGTTTCTCATTATTTACAAAGACTTTCGCAGATTTTCTAGAATTATTATTGAAAAGACGACATTTGAAGAATTTGAAGAAATCTGCAAATGAATTTAAAGAAGATAAGAAATTCAATAAAATGATGAAAACGAAATAATCGATTTTAGCATTGATTTATTGACAAATCTCTTTTGAGAAATATGTTCCTAACCATCTAATTAGATTACTGTATGATTTTTACTTTATTTTTCGTTGTCGTTATTTAATAATTAAAAAAACTAATTCTGAATCCACCCCCAAAGTAGGAGTTTTGAACATCGAATTTGCGCTTAAACTCAGGATTTACAGATCTTTAAAAAGTTTAATATGTCTCAAATGAATCCGAAAGAAGTTTTCCACAAAACTGCATATTCAGTTCAATTACCTTACATAGCCGGTCACTCCCTTTAATAAAATATTCCCCTCATCATATTTTCTTGTTGCATATCTGTCTTTGGATAATGATATGGTTTCCTGTTTTGTACAGGGTCAGAGGCGTATTCAGGGGGGGGGCTAGGGGGGCCCAGCCCCCCCTAGACCAGGGAAATCTATGGATTTCAGGGGGTTTTAAGGCCCCAACGGCTGCTGAGCCCCCCCTGTTAAGAAAAAATGTTAAGCCCCCCCTGGACAAATTAGCCCCTGTACAGTTTGTTTTTTCATGACCTTAAACTTTTTGGATACAACTATTTAAAGGTTGAATTATGGGTTCTTTATGAGATACATTCTTATAATGGTATATTAGAAGATTAGAATAAGAGAGTAGCAGTTAAGAGCTGTAGGATACTATGAATGTACAGTCAGAACCACAAAACTGTGCAGTATGAAGACGACATTATCAATTTAATACGTAAATTTAATAAAGTTGTGAAATACCGTGATAACCAGAAAACTGTAGAATATGAAGACGACATAATGCAATACTGAAGTGAATTTAATGTTGTTACAAAGTAAAAAGCCTCACTTGTAAGTTCTTAAATCCCTAATTAAGTGAAATGGGTCTGTTTACACTGCACAATTGCTGTGCCTCATGTTCATTGGACTATTAAAAGTCATAACTTGAGTCTAAAAGCCGACTTTCTATTCCAGAATTTTCTGGTTATCACTGTAGTTTTATCAAAATCTTGTTCAGACTGTAGACTGCACAATTTTTCTTGTTTATTAGTCTATAAAAAGTCATAACCTGAGGCTAAAAGTCGCCTTCCTATTCTACAGTTTTAGGGTTCACATTGTAGGAAAATGGACTGAATAAATTCTAAAAATCTTTAGCGACATTTATTAATCAAATAAAGAACAGAATGACACATCCGTCTCTTATTTTATATGTTCAATTTAATTTGCTTTATACTCAAAGGACAATTCTCTTGAAATTTGTCATTCTATGTTGTGCGCATATGCCCCGTAAAATTACAAAACAGAGAGAGGGGGATTGAATTTTGTAGATCCTGAAAAATAATTAAATTAGTATTTATTTAGCGTTAGGTTAGGTTAACACACTTTCTGTGCCGAGCGCTGAAGCTAGGGCAGGCTAGGGGGCCGAGCGCTGTGGCCACGGGTTAGGTTAAGTTATGACACTTTCTAGGCCAAGCGGTGCGGCTAGGACAGGCAAAGTGGGCCAAGCGCTAAGGCCACATATCTTACATTTAAGACCCCACCAGCTGCCAGTCTCTACGCAGGCATCCCACAGATATTATTTTTCTGGATCTACAAAATTCAATCCCCCTCTCTCTATTTTGGAATTTTACGGGGCATGTGCGCACAACATAGAATGGGAAATGCCAATTCTCTTAGAGATACTGTGAGCCCTATAAAACTACACTTAAGCATTTTTATGACTATTTAATTCGGTTATAAAGTATATAGTATACAAGGTACCCACAAAGGACTAGACTGAAACCAAACATCTAAGAATATGACGATTTCAAGCTTGATCTTTGGTTTCTGCATTTAGTTGAGTATTTTGATGGTTTACTAAATGATCAAGCAAAGAAATATGCTAGTTTTGATCTACATGGAATAAAACCTTCAATGCAAGAAAACGGATTAAAAAGTCATCTATGAAGTCTCATCCTTTGTGAGTAACCCTGTAGCTTGAATGCAAAAAATGCAATGCAAAGTTTAATGGGTCAAATTAAACTGCACATCTGCTGTGAATTAATGTTTATTGATCTAGTAACGTCATAATTTAAGTCAGTTCAGTCCAGGATTTAAAGTTTGCCAGGTTTAATTGACATAATAACAAGAGTCTGTGTTGAACTGTCAATATTTAGATATAAAAAGGTGCAGGTAAATAAGTTGACCGCAACTGGGGTCGAGTACTAAAAATAATAATGTTTCAGGGGTACAACACGTCAAACTAAAGTAAAATGCACTTGCGATTCAAATCTTTTATGTTTTTCATCATAACTCATCTTTTTGAAGAGTTATTGAGAAGAGCAAAAAGGTTTTGAATTCATGATATGTAATCAAGTAAATTTGCTTTTCTTATACTTGCGCTTAAAATCAGAACTAGAGGAGCAACGGAGTCACAAAGTCGTAACAACAATGTCAATTGAATTTGACCTTCGCCTCCTGGTTAGTTTGCAGTGACAAAGATAGAAACAAAATAGGGTTTTATATTACATATGTAACACTTTAAAATCCTTTCTGTTCTTCATGATAGCATTGTGATAGTCATTTCTAAAAGTTGTATTAGAGTCTAACACATCTTTATGAAATTTTATTAGAATTTTATGAAAATCTTTTTAACTATTGTGTGATTTTTTCAAAGATTAAAGTTGTTGAGATTATATCAAAATCATATGAGATTATATCAAAGTTTTTGTGATTAAATCAAATCGTGTGAGATTCATCAAAGTTTTAAAAATTCTATCAAAGTTTTATGGGTTTCTATCAAATTTTTATGAAATTCTATCAGAGACATTTAATTTAAACACAAATAGTGTAATTTTACTTTAATTTTGCAAAGTATATCTTTCATGTTTTTCTACTGAATATATTTTGATAATATTTCAGATAATGACAAATGGATTTTCTTTTGTTTCTGATATACATATACAGGGTACCGTTGTGAATTAGGCATTGTACTTTTAAAATGGAGGGTCACTTGAAATTAAAAGGAATCTGTAAGGAATATTCAATTTTGCATACTTTGGATGTATTAAATAATTGAACTTCCAGTCCTAGAAATGTAAAATATGGGAAGAATTTTATATTTTTCGTTTGTTTTTACATCATAACCATTTGCAAGTTGAGTCGAGTCAACTAAAAAAATGTAAATATAAATTTAAAAATTTATATTTACATTTAGCGTTACGATCAACCCCATAAACTGTTTAGGCTTTAGTCTAGTCCCCCTTTCATTTTACCTTAATAGTCTTTTTAAAGGAAGTGTTCGCGAAAAATGAAAGAGGGTATAGGCTTACGGCGAAAAATAAGCGCTTTTGATCGCTACTAATCTTACTTTTATCTCTTGCATCTAAAAGGAGAAAAGACTCATGCTGAAGAACGCAGCGTCTTTACAAATTCAGAAAGTAGCAACATTCAACTCGGATCGTAAAAAAATCAGTTTAATTCCAAACAGAGCATTCAGATATTACAACCAATAATTTTTCGACGCATTCATATTTAGTTAATTTTTAATAATATTTTTTATTTGTTTTGTATACAATGCATTATCAAACTACGCCGAAATAGTTGGCAGCCAGGTGTCTCTGCTCTCGATGCTTTGAATGATTACACATGGCGGATAAAACGTTGTTTCAAGCACAAAAAAAAATATGAACTATTAACTATATCCGAATGCGTCGAAAAAAAACGTAGGTTGGAACATCTGAATGATTTGTTTGAAATTAAATTGATTTTTTACGATCCGAGTTGTAACTTCATTTTATTTTTTTTTATGATCTGATACTTAATTTTGAAAACATTTATTCCTGTTTCGAGGATTTTTGATAATTAAGACGACATTTTCACATTTTTCAGGAATGTTCAAAAAATCCAGCGCGAGCGGAATATTATTTCCAAAAACAAATCAAAAATGTTATGAAATATTAACTATAATATGAATGCGTCGCAAAATAATCCATGACTGTTTTTTGTTATACATATCAATAATTATACAAATTAAAAATATCTCAAAACAATTCAGAACTTCTGCATCTTCTTGAGGAATCTTGCAGCAGCACATCCTGAAATTAACTTAGGTGAAATCTTATCTAGCTTTAAAGAGGGTCAACTCAGTTTACTTGGAGGGGGGGGGATAAGACCTCTTTTCCCTTCAAAAGTATTAGACTGCGGCTATCCAATGTCTGACTTTTCTTTAAAATCCATGAGTTAAGACCTAAAACAAAGTTATGAGGCGTAATTAGGGTTGTTAATTGTTTTTGTAAACGATCGTTAAACGATCGTTAAACGATCGTTTTTTGTTTCGTTTTCAAAAACGATCGTTTCGTTTTCAGAAAAAAACGATCGTTTTTAAAAACGACCCACTCGTTATGAACTTTTAGAAAACGAATAGCGATCGTTTTTGAAAACGATCGTTTTTATTAAAACGATTTGCGATCGTTTTTTATACGATTGTTTTTAAAAAAACGATCGTTTTTGAAAAAACGATCGTTTTTGAAATTTTTTTTTATTGACAATTATGTTAACGATCGTTAACGAAGGGTCGTCGTTAACGAAGGGTCGTCGTTAACGATCGTTAACGAAGGGTCGTCGTTAACGATCGTTAACGAAGGGTCGTCGTTAACGATCGTTAACGAAGGGTCGCCGTTAACGAGCATTAACGAAGGTTGTCGTTAACGATCGTTAACGAAGGGCCGTCGTTAACGATCGTTAACGAAGGGTCGCCGTTAACGAGCATTAACGAAGGTTGTCGTTAACGATCGTTAACGAAGGTCCGTCGTTAACGATCGTTAACAAAACGACGAATTTTATAAAAACGATCGTTTTGAAAAACGATCGTTTTAAAAACGACCATTTTAAAAAAACGAACTTTTTAAAAAACGATCGTTTTTAAAAACGATCGTTTCGTTTTCGATTTTTTGTGGTCGTTATCATAACGAAACGATCGTAGGCGTAGTGCCTGATTGCCTGATATTTTCAGTGGTAAACTGAACCTCTGCTTAGGCTCCCAGTCTTACTCTTATATTATGCTAAAATAAAGCAGAGAGCAGAAAAAATACGGTAAAAGACTACTTCATGAATCTAAAACTGAACCCCTTCGATAACATGGTACAACCTTCATCCTGGATTTTAGGGATTCACAATCTTTATATCACCTAGTAATCTTATATATATATATATATATATTCTCCTCAGAATATGTATATATTCTAATCAGAATATATATATAATCTCATCAGAATATATATATATTTTGATGAGAATATATATATATTCTCATCAGAATATATATTTCTATATATATTCTGACTGGGGCATCTAATTGCTTTTAAATCGTGGACTCGGTTTTAGGTTTCAGAACAGAGATGAGGAGAAATGACTGAGGAAATGCCTGAAACAACTATAGGAGGCTCGGTTAAACATTAAATAAAACACTGCAGACGAAGACCGCATTTTCAATTTAACCAGATTAAGCCCGTACATGAATTTACTGTTACCGTCCTGTCTAGTGTACCCAGTGAATTGTAGACCCAGCATGTTTTATGCGCAAATATAGACTGGCTGGATTATTGTGTTATTGAGATTTTTGCCACAAACTCTAATTTTCTTATTTCTATACCTTTGCCACCCCATGTCGTAGACCTAAGATATTTTAAACTTCAAGTTTAGATCAAAAAATCTATATGTATACGTTTGAAATATCAAAGGTTTAAACCATCCTATGGCTGCACAAATTGGAAAATTGGATTTTTGGGGGGAAGACCCGTTTTTCACATTTCTACAAGAACTAGGCTTTTATGGCAATTCGGGCCCATCCTATCTTTTAACTTTTAATTGTGGCTCTTTCTTCTCGTTGTACAGTATAAAACAAGCTTTTGGAGACAACTTTTTGTAATTAAGAGCATCCATAAACCTTCCCTGGAGTCATGCCAGGCCCCACACTAAATTTGGGCCCTATCGGTTCAGCTGTTTTGTAGTTTATTGGATACACACAGACAAACAAACAAATAGACACCCAGAAAGATAAGCAAAGTATATTCATAGATGAGAAAATGTTGGTTTGTGGCAAAGACTCTATTCTTTTTGTGCAAAATTGCATTATGTTTAAAATTGCATAGATATTATTAGAATTGTATGTTTAAAGTTACATATGGCAAGAGTTTACATATAAATATAGTTATCTTACACATCGTAATTTCTAACAAATAAATCAAAATTAAAATTTGTTTACTAAAGTGTTAATCATACTTAATTATATTTAGGATTTGAGTGTAGAGCTTCATTCCTTCAGATGTCTTGAGTCTGAATGTTACAAATTTTCACTTTTAAACACCTTCGTAATTTCAAGTGTCCCTCCATCTGTAGAGTGGGCTGTACAATTCACAAAAGTACCCTATAATCTAATCAGTCAATTAGTCAATAGTATAATCAGTCAATTAGTCAATAGTATAATCAGTCAACTAATCAATAGTATAATCAGTCAATTAGTCAATAGTATAATCAGTCAACTAATTTAGGATTCATGACTTATCATTATAAAGCTGCAGAACACTTGTAATTGTTAAACCACTTGGTTTGCAACCTGTTTTTTATTTAAACAGATTTTTTACTTTCTAGAAGGAGTAGAAAATAAATATAAAAATTTTTTTTTTACACTCGACATAGATAATACGTTATGTTAACCGTTCACGCTGTACGGAATTTTTTCGCAATTTTAGAAATACACAGACTAAGTACTTTACCGTTGAAATGATCAATGTACCGTTTTAAAAATTGGACATTTGGACTTTGGAGAGTCACTTGAATTTACTCTTTCAGTGTCCGATTTAATAAATTTAAGTCGCGTCTCAAATCCCCCAAAAACAGGTTTCAATTGATCGCCGGCTTAAATCTTCAAAAATCTAATACAATTTTAAATGAAACCAATCAAGGTTCAGCCGCGGCCCAAATTTAAGTCGCAGCACAAGTAGGGTTGTTAATCGTTTTAGGAAAAAACTATCGTTTTTAAAAACGACCCACTCGTTTTGAACTTTGAAAACGAATAACGATCGTTTCTGAAAACGATCTCTTTTATTAAAACGATTTGCAACCGTTTTTATACGATTGATTTTTAAAAAAAACGATCGTTTTTGAAAAAGATTTTTATTGACAATTATGTTAACGATCGTTAACGAAGGGTCGTCGTTAACGATCGTTAACGAAACGACAAACTTTATAAAAACGGTCGTTTTTGGAAAAAAAATTACATTCAACTTTATTGAATGTCGTTCTACATGAAGTTTAACAGTTTTGGGGGAGTTAAAACTTCTTGATATTTTCTTAAAAACTACTCAATGATAAGTACAGATGCCCTTCGTTAACGATCGTTAACGAAACGACGAATTTTATAAAAACGATCGTTTGAAAATCGATATTTTTGAAAAAAGAGCGTGTTGAAAAACGATCGTTTTAAAAACGACCATTTTTAAAAAACGAACTTTTTAAAAAAAGCGATCGTTTTTAAAAACGATCGTTTCGTTTTCAAAAAAATGAAAACGTTAACATCCCTGCACAAGTTCTTTAAATTCGGCCTCTGTTCTTTTAAATGTAAATTTTTCGAATTTTAGCAGAGCCCTCTTTAATCTGAAAAATAAAAAGTTGAAAGTGAACAGTCTCAAATAACTTTCTAGATAGTTTAAATTATGTTTGTGCAGATACAGTAATACCCAGAAATCTCTGAAATAGAAAGACCACTTTTTAGCAATACTTAAGTGTGTTTGATGTTGTTACAAAGCAAAAAGTTTACCGAAACACTTATTGGATACTATTTAATTTATTAATTAATTATTAATTTATTAATTTATATTCATTTTCTAAAATTTTAAGCAAGACACAGATAAAAATAGCTTTAACCAACAAACGAATTTCTCCGTATCTATATTCAGACTTGAACCCAAGTTGACCGATTTTTTCGGTTAAACCTTTATTACATTTTAGTATTAATGAAATTTAACATTAAATCAAGTTAACAGCAAGGAAATACATTATTGTCGGTAATGTATTGTGAAAGACCCTGTACCGTGTTTTTGTAATTGTAATTGCTATTTAACGATATAGATAAGACTGATAATTGTGATGGCATCAGTTCCATCTTAAGATCCAGGGAATCCAGGATATACGAAATGATGACCTAACCCTAGGACCGACCCTGCTCTGGCTGCTACAGTCTGACTGCTCTTCCCTGCTCTCCATTTCTGTCGACTAAAATTAGCTACTAAAACTTATCTTCTCTTCTGCTTAAATAATCTATATAATAAAAAAAGACATTCGTATATATATGTATATGTTGCGTACAGCCGGCCAAACGGCTGAACCGATTGGGTTGAAATTTTTTGTGGACACTCATGGGTGGCCAGGGGTTGTAATAAGCTTAAAAAAAATTCTGAATTTTATTTTTCAAATTTTTTTTCATATTTTTATTCTTTTTCAAAAAATTTTCCATGGGCAACGCCGGGCCCTTCAGCTAGTAATTACTCAACCGTTTAATTTTTGTTCATTAAGCCTCAGTTTACACTGCACAATTGCTGTGTCCAATGTTCATGGACTAATTTAAGTCATATCTGGAGTCTAAACTCTGTATTCCTATTACAGAGTGTTCTGGTTATCACTGCAGACTAAACAAAGAATTATGTTAAAATATTATAACAATAAGATTCCAGAATAAAAAAATGAAGGATAAGATTAAAAGAATTAAAGAAAACTAAAGAACGAAGAAACAACGACGGAATTAGAAAGTAAGAGAGAAGAAAGAAGAACGAAAGGAAAAGTAAAGAAAAAAAATTAAGAAAAGGATTTTAATCCTTCAGAAGTTTTATTGCAATTTCCCCGGATTTTAAGGAAACCCGCAAAAATATCAACAAAATTCCATAAGTTTTTAGAAGAGTATCGACAATTTTTATAAGCAATGAATGTAGTAAACACCTACTCCATAACAAGCTCTCGAAACGTGTTTCCAGGTACAATCCGTCTTCTATCAAACTCAACCAGAACCGAATCCCAGGCTATAAATGACACACAGGGACACAAGCGTAGCTATTAAAATCTCGCTACTAATACAGTGTTCAAGCAGGATTGAATCCCAGGGTCTGAATGCCAGACAGGGCACAAGCGTAGCTATCAAACAAGCTATATATATAGATCCCAAATGATAGGGCGATCCAACCTGGTTATATATCAACACAGGGTTTCAGCGCTCAAAATGACACAAGCCTAGCTATACAAGAAGCCATCTGTCAATCTCAAACAAGGAGTACAATCTACTGCTCTGAATGCCTCACAAGGACAAAAGCCTTAGCTATACAACAAGCTATCTGTTGATCTCAAACAAGGGGTACAATCTACTGCTCTGAATGCCTCACAAGGACACAAGCCTGGCTATTCTTACAAGCCGTATCGAACAAAGCCAAACCTCAAGGCACAGTCTTTGTTTGTATATTTCAACGAAAACCAAATTACTTCTAATGCCATAATCAGAGCAGAGTCTCAATCAACTAACTTTATTCAAAAGCTTATGTCACAAAGTTAACAGGAATTGACATAGCTTCAATTCCTAAGATGTTATCTATATTACATGATTAATACCATCATATTACGTATTTATCGCATAGTAAAGTTTTATAAACATATTTACAAGATTAGAGAAAATAGATATCACAAAGTATATTTAATTTAAGTATGTCGCATGATTTAAGCTAATCATGTTAAGTATTTAATTGAAACGCAGTCATTGTGTCTTAGTTTAAAACATTAAATCATAAATAATGTACAACATACTGAAAGTATACTGTATACAGAATATCATGTTTACATGCTTTTTGCTACACGAATGTCAGTCTGTTTTGTTAATGTCACAAAGCGTCCTGAAGAGCGTCTTTCCGGTCTAAATATGATTACCTTAGAAGGACCAATTTGGAGTCTTGAGGACGTCCTAATCCCGTGTCTTGAAAGTCAATTTTAGATGTCCTCGGTCATCTCCCGTTCTTGCTGGGTAATTTTCACTAGGGTTTCACAGTATTTTGCAAATGGGGGAGGGGATTGCTCTTAACTTGGTTTTGTCAGTGGGACAATCAGTATGGTTCTGCCGGGTGTCAAGCTAGGTTATGTCTGGCAGGGGTACAAAAAATTGTTCACACACAATTTTTAAATTTTTGTGACAAATGTTTAAATCATTTGTTAACGTTAACAACCAATTTAGAAATTGATTGTTCTCGGTTCTCGGTCTGCCTGAAAAAATGTGAGATTTTGAATTTTTTATTTCTCAGAATGATTCTATTATAGTACGTTCATCTATCTATAATTTTTCTGAAGAACACCATTATTCACGCAAAAATCGAGCAGTCTTTTTAAACCTTAGCTAGAAAAAATGCGTTGCATACTCGAAATGTATATATGTCTAGGGCTACAAAAAAGTATAAGTGAGTTAAAGAGGTAAAACCAAAGGCCAAAGCCTTGCAAGACTTTAAAGTTGAGGCTGTCCAAAAATTTGATCTTAGTGTCTTCGTGTTGGCATAATATTAACAAGCATTTAAATATTTTTACAATTGACAATTTGTTTTATAGTTTATAGTTTTTTTTGGAACACACTATAATTCTCGCATACTATCCACTTACCCAGCTTATAAAACATTTTCATATTCTGTATTGCGTATATTTGATACTTCTGCCATTATAATATATGCTTGTTAGCGAGTATTA